TTTGAGAATAATTTGTCAATTACGGGTACTTTTTTTTTTTTGAATTTGATAAAATTGTCTTGTGAATCCATCATGACCGGAAGTTTTTCCTTTGGTAGTTCCTTTTCAGCTATATCTATTTCCTTTTCTGAGATTCGGTTAACATCGCTATCAAGTTTTCTGTAAGTTTGGGTGTTTTGTAATTTTGAAGATATTCCCTTCTTTTGTGTTTTTTTTGTTAGCCTATAACTGTTCATAATATGTTCTGATCACACTTTTTATTTCTTTTGGTTTTGTTGTGATTTCACCTTGCTTATTTGCTATTTTATTGATTTGATTTTTTTGCCCTCTTTTTAATCAGATTAGTTAAAAGCTTAACAATTTTATTAATCTTTTCAAAGAACTAGCTTTCAGTTTTATTTGTCATTTCTTTTTTTTCCAATTTATCTATTTCCTTTCTAATTTTTAATATGCCTTCTTTTGTGCTCATTTTAAGTTTATTTTTTTTTTGGCTTTCTAATTTTTTAATGGACAGCTATGTGGCACAGCGAATAGAGCACCAGGCCTGGAGTCAGGAAGACTCATGTTCATAAGTTCAAATCTGACCTCAGATGCTTACTAACTGTGACTCTGGGCAAGTCACTTAACCCTATTTGCCTTAGTTTCCTCATCTGTAAAATGAGCTACAGAAGGAAATGGCAAACTACTTTAGTACCTTTGCCATAAAAACCCCAAATAAGGTCATGAAGCATCAGACATGCCTGAACAACAAAATTTTTAAATGCCTATTACGTTTAATTTTTAAAAAAAATTTGTTAATGCATGTTTGTAGTGATATGCTTTCCTACCTTGAATACTGCTTTAGCTGTATCCTAGTTATGGTCTTATTTTATCACTATCATTTTTTTTACATATTTTTAAATTGTTTCTATGATTTTTTCTTTGACTCATTATTTAGAATTGTATTGTTAAGTGTTCATTTGAGCTGTGTTTCTTGTTGATGGACCCTGAACCAATTACTATTTTTATTGTGTTACGGTCCCTAAAGACTGTATTATTATTTTTGCCTTTTTTACATTTGTTTGCAATATCTGTGTCCTAATACACGATCATTTTTTGTAAAAAGTTCCATATGTATGTATACATACATATTTTTTTGCAGTCCCATTCAGAAGATGCCATAAGTATTTCAATTCTTGTGCATAAAACGATTTGTACAGCTCTGTATTTTCCCTTCTGTTTATCTCTGTTAGACTTACCTAAAACTAGGAGAGATAGTGAAGTCTCCTGTCACTATTGTTACTATGTCTACTTATAGCTCAGTTAATGTTTCCTTTATGAATCTTGATGCTTTGGTACTTTGAGCATATACATTTAATACTGATATTAGTTTGTTTATGGTTTCTTTCAGCATAATGTAATTTCCTTGTTTATTCCTTTTAGTTTTTTGGATGTTTCTTTTTGCTTGTTAGATAACATGACTGCAACATCTGCTTTTAAAAATTCAATTATACCTAGTAAATTTTTTTCTATTTTATGTTGTAAGCAACAGATTGTAGAGTTTTGTTTTCTTATCCAATCTGTCACTCTTTTTCCTTTTATTGTTTAACTTCTTCACATGTAAAGTTACAAGTTAGGTTTATATTTTCCTCTATTTGTTTGTCATATTGTTTTTTTCTCCTCAAGTTAATTTTTTCTCCTCACTACCAAAGCAAGGTCTCCCCCCTTCCCTCTCCCCTTTTCAATTTTTCTTCCTGCACACCCACTTTCCTACAGGTTATTCTCTGAGACCACAGGGGTTACCTTCCCCTTACTGCAAGCTTTTAATTTGACCCAGGGACATCACGTCACTACTTTCAAGTATTCTCCCACATTTTAATGTAGCACCACAAAAAGTATTGATTCTCTTGTAGACAGAGTGCCACAAGGTTCTATCTATAATGTCCCAGGTCCACTCCTTCACTTATCTCCAACTGACTTCCACTTTTACCCCTATTTTCTTGTGTAATTTAGAAAGAAATTTCTTCCTGTCTTTCTGTCACTCTGTTGCTGCTGCTGTCCTTGGCTGCTGCTCTTTCATTCCTCCTGCAATTCTGTTATCTGGAGTATTTAAGAAGCAAATAATTTCTTCACTTCTGGTTTTCTTTCTAGGAATGTTTCAAATACCTATTATTGAATGTCTATCTTTTTTTCATTTATGGTTAAACTCAGATTTGCAGAATAGGTCATCCTGGGCTGCATCCTGAGCTTCATTGCTCTTTGGAACATATTATTCCATTCCCTCCTGTGTTTTCTGGTGAGTGTAGAATAGTTTTATGTTACTCAAATTTCCTTTCCCTTGTATTTGAAGGTCTTTCTCCTGATTACTCAGAGCTTGTTTCTGAATTGAATTGTTATATTTAACCACTATGTGACTTGGAGTTTGTAGCTTTAGGTTTTTGGTTGTTTTTTTTTTGTTCCTAGAAGCAATCTATGAATTCTTTTAATTGGTATTTCACTTTATGTTCAGAAGTTCTGGGAGGTTCTCTTGCATTATTTCCTGTATTATGACTTGAAGATTTCTTCTGGGAGACCCATGATCCTTAGGGTGTTTCTGAGCATACTGTCTTTGAAATCAGTATCTTTTGTTTGGGAAGTGAGTGTATTTTCTTATAAAGCCATTGTTTGTTTGGTTTTTTTGCTTCTTGTCTTCTGGATTATTCTTCACTTCTGTGTATTTGCGTTCTCAATCTATTGTTCCATCTTTTCTTTGGTAACATTCACTATCACGGAGTCCAGCTTTTCTGTTCTGCCTATTATTTTTGCTGTGCAGCACAAATTCTGAATCCTCATGTCTCTTTTAAACCACTCAGGAACAGTGTACGGTGGTTTCACATTCTCAAATCTCACAAGGCCTCTTGTCTCATCAAGTTTCTTTTGTTTTGCGGTATTTAGTCAGAGATACCTGAACTAATTTATTTGATCATGAGGCCATATTTCCTTCTGCTGTGTTTTCTCTGTTGATTTATCTGCTTATAACCAAGGTCTCTGAGTTTTCTTCTTCCCAAGTCCTTAGGTAAATTTATTCTCTTCCTCCTACCCCTTATTTTTCCTTATTCAATTCCTGACTCACTCCCCTCTGATACTAGCTCCCTGAGAGCTGATCTCAAAAGCATCTCAGCTTCCTTCTAAGCTAGGCAATTTATGGCTCATCAGCCTAGGTCTCTGCCACCAAGTGACTTAGGTGACTGAAGTATCCCCAGCTGAATGCTGTGTTCTTTCCCTCAGGCTTAGTAGAGTGCCACTCAAAGCACTACACATGCTGGGCTATCCTACTCCCTGCTCCTCACTTGCCTGGCGGTTCTCAGAGCACTGTTGCTCTGCATCCAGGCAGGACTGACTTGCCATTTGAGAATTTGGGTCTCTGAGGCCCTGAGGGATAGGGTTGAGTTCTATTTCAAACCCAGACATGTTTCCTGCCCCGTTCCCTCAGTTTCTCTGTTTTCCTATAGAAATTTTTTGTAGTACAGAATGCAGCGATACTTTTGGGGGCCCCAGGAAGCTTCTGCAGCTTGGAGTCGAGATCTCCCCGGCACCGAAGTGGGAAGGAGGACCAGTGTGGGGTTGGGTTTTGTTCCAAGCCCACGTTTTGGGGCTTTAGGTGGGCTAGTGCAGCCTCACCGCTGCATTGTGTGTGGTGGGGCAGAGGGTGCTAAGTGAGCTCAGAGTAGGCTCAGTTCATGTATTTTTGTTTTTTTTAAACCTTATTTTCTATTCCAGGTGTCCATGGAGACAGCTTAAGTTGCTTTATCTTTAGCACATTCATTGAGAGGCCATGGGGATCAGAGATAATGTCTAGGCCTCATCATCTTATTTGTCACATGGTCCAGAGGGTTCATAGCTAAGGATTTAATTTTTTTAACTTCCTAGTAAGGATGTTTCACATATATTGTACAGTGAATATAATCAATTATATATAATTACAAGGCATATGAGTTCAGAATATAAAATGGAAACCACAATAATCTACATAGACAATCTATATGGCATGTACTATGACAAGGCAAAAAAACACTCCCTTTTTATACTGTCAGAAGTGCTTATATACCAAGCTAGAAGGCTCCTATCTACAGAAAACAAACAGTAAATCACACTGAGCTATTATAAAATTTCTGAATTGTTCTAAGGCCAGTGTGAAATTCCTAAAGTGTAAGACATTTTTATTTTCTTACATTTCCATTTTTTCCCCCAATAATGTCTGATTCTTCTTAAAACTCACCCACATTTCCCACTTCCTCCATTCTTAACCAGAATTGGCACCCACAACCTGAGTTCTAAATTGTTTATTCTTTTCTCTGCTTACGTTAACTGTTAATTGTATATATACGTTAACTGAATAACAAAAACAAGGTTTATTTTTGTAGAACATTTATTTCTTTCATGAAAGGCATTCAATTTATTTTTGTCACTAAAGTCATCTCAATTAATACATATGTATAGTCCTCCCCAGACATCCTGCTCCATAGTAGGGAAATGAAGCTGTGATCCATTTTACTACAAGTAAAATGTTACAAAATATTTACAAGGAAAGTTGATGAACAAAACCAGAAGTAAAAACACAAAAAACACTGGAAGAAATGCATTGGTTTCTGACAAATATCTATTCCAGTGGCTTACCAAACCCACTTAAGAAAAAATATTTCAAAAAAAAAAGTACAGACACTAAAATCTTGTCTATTTCATGCCTCCAAAGAAAAAAGGAAAATGGTGGTGGTGATGGATATCGTAGAGATGTGAAGGGACACTGCTATAGAACCTTACCAATCTACTCTGAATGAGACATCTTTTTCTTCTGTGCAGTGAATTCTGACCAAAGCTAAATAATATTAAGACAATCTTTGCACTGAAGTTAAGAAATGCTCTAACAGAGTAAAAGTTAACTCCTCTGCACTCAGGTCCAATATATAAGAACTCCTTCTCTATGAACCACATTTTCTAATGTGAATTTATGGGATTAAAACCTCCCCTGACATCATAAGCTGTCACAGTAGCCCCTCCATCTCTTTCATGAAAGCTTCATACACATCATCCTTGGTTTGTACTGAAACAGGAGCAGAGGGGCCAGATTTAGGGACTGCTTTGGCAAGGGGTAAAGCAGAATCCTCTTCTGACTTTCTTTGGGGAGCAGCAGTAGCTCCTTTGTTTTCTCGTCGAACCCTCAGTGCAGTGGGCACAAATCTGGTAATTTCTGCCTTAGGATTAGTGATTTGTGGCTTGGCACTGATGGTTGCTGTGGCTTTCTTCTCAATAGTGGCTGCACTGGTGTCATCCACCTTGGGTCTCTGGATCAAATTAGGTGGGGCACTTAAAACCCCTGGATTCGGCAAGGGAGCTGGTGGAAAAAGCCCCGGTGGAGCAGGTCCAAGTGGAGGCACCAAAGGTGGGCGCATCATACCAGGACGAGGTGGAGGGATGCCTATTATGAAGAAAATGCAAATTGAGAACACCATGAATTATCTAAATAAGCTTTTTTTTTTTTTAAAGGGACATAGAACTTATAGGGCACATATCATGGAAAAGTACTTAAATCTGAAGAAAGTCTTTACACTGACATCCTTGGCCTTATTCAATGCTCTTACCTCCTCAAATAGCCTTCCATTATTGGATAACTGGGTGTTACAAATTCATTACCTCATCTGAATTTGGCTTTCATGATACTGCAGAGGCAGTGAGGTGGTACAACAGATAGACTGCTGGCCCTGGAGCCAGGAAGACTCATCTTCTTAAGCTCAAATCTAGCCTCAGACACTTATTAGCTGTGTGACTCTGGGCAAGTCACTTAACCTTGTTTGCCTCAGTTTCCTTAACTACAAAATGAACTGGAGAAGGAAATGGCAAACCACTCCAGTATCTTTGCCAAGAAAATCCCAAATGAGGTTGTGAAGAATTGGGCACTCCTGAAATGACTAAACAACAAATCCTACATGGCAATCTTTTTTTCACTCCTTTACTATCACATAGTCGCCATAAAGACTGTTCCAAACCTTTTATACTTTCTCAAACCCAAAATATTAGCTCCACGCTCAGTCAACCCCTTATGCTAGTGAAAAAACAAATCAAAGCCTCTCCTAAACAACATCTCAAAATGCTTTTACATCATCCCCTTTCTTTCATTTGATTCAGTCGGAGGAAAAGATAATCCTGCTTTGTGCAGAGGAACTAACACTATATTAGGAGTCTGAAGATTCAATTTGAATTAGGGATTTGCCACTTAACTAGCAGTGTGACCTTGGGTAAATCACTTCAACTGTCTGGGCTCATAGTGTTTAAGTGGTCAAACTTACAGTGTTTCTCTAACAGGGTCTGTGAAGACCAAATGAGATAATTTATGCAAAAGGGCTTTGTAAACCTTAAACTACAACATAATTATCAATTACGATTTTCTTTAAAATAAGGCATTAGATTAAAGGTTCCACTCCAGCCCTAAATCTATGGTCTTTGCAAAGATTAACCCTTTGGTTTGTGTCCTTACTCTTATTCCCTTCCAGTACCTTGGGAAGCTTGCCCTTTCAATCATGCCCTCTCACCTCCAATCTTTCCTTATTTATTGAGCCACTGAATACAAATGTGACCAGGCCTCCCAGATCTTAACAAGAACAACAAAAACTTCATTTGACCTGCAATATAGTAGGCCTTTAATATGTTTACTGATGATCCCCTCAGGCTGTCTTTTATCTTTTCTCTTTTTTCACTGATAAACCTCTAGTAAAAGGAATTTTGACACTATTCATTATTTCCTTTCCTCTTAGATACTCTCTTCCCTGGCTTTCTGATACTACAGTTTCCTAGTTTTCTTCCTATCTCACCACTCCAGTCAACTCAACATCATCCATTTCATGCCCCTTAAGCATGACGGCTCTCCAAAAGCTCTGTGTTCTCTTCTCTTCTCCCCTTTCTCTGCATTCTCTCCATTGGCTCTCATGTGTTCAACAACTACCTCTTTGCAACTGACTTCCCAAATCTGTATATTAAGACTTAATCTCCCTCTCAGACTCTAGCGCCCCATTATTAACTACCTATTCAACATCTCTATACAAACATTTTGTTGGCATCGCAAACTCAAGTCCAAAATGGAACTAATTAGCCTCTCCTCTACATTTGTCTCTTTTCCAAACTTCTCCTTATTTCTTTTTTTTAAGTTTATTTTTTCTCAATTACACATAAACAACAATTTTTAACCTTCATTTAAAAAAATTTTTGAGTTTCAAATTCTCTCCCTTCCTCCTTGAAAAGGCAAACAATTTGAATGCAAAACGTTTCCATGTTAGTCATGCTGCAAAAGAAAACAGACCAATAAAAAAATATGCTTCGATCAGACTCCATCAGTTCTTTCTTAGGAGGCAGATAGAGAGCATTTTTCATCCTTAGGCTTTCATAATAGTTTTGTATCACTGTATTGCTGAGAATAGTTAAGTCATTCACAGTTGATCACCGTACAATACTGCTGTTAATTATAATTATGTACAGCCTTGTTCTGCTTCATTTCACTATATAGATGTTGCTTCTGCATATCACTCAATCAGAGGTTGGAGTCAGAGAAATAGTTTTTATTATTATTATTATTATTATTTCCACCAAAAGCCAAGTGGAAACCTTAAGGAATTCAGTCAGGGGGCTAGGTGGAAGTTAAACAAAAGGGACTTATATTAGAATAAGAAAACACTCTTGGTGGTGAATAAACTAACCAGTGGAAAACCAGTTCAGATGTTAATATGAAAAGAGGTGTTCCCAAATAAGGGCCATGGTCACAGAACTGGGGGGAGTGGGAGATGTAATTAGGGGTGGAGACTCATGTGGGGAAATTAAACGCTTCAGACAGGCTATGACCTCTATAGTACCGAATGAATGGGGAAACAGGTGAAAGAAATTTGAATGGGGAATAGGGAATAAAAAGATGTGCATTTATCGATACATGTGCCCTCCCATGTGTGCTCTCACACATGAAGGATGCCCGACCTTCCTAGGCTGTTAATAAAGCTTCTTCCTGATTCAACAACAGCTTCATGGAATCCGTGATATTGATATAAATAATACGTTGTATTAATTCATGTAAGTCTTCCCAGGTTTTTCTGAAAGTACCCTGCTCATCATTTCTTAGAGCACACTAGTATTCCATCACAATCATATACCACAAGTTGTTTAGCCATTCCCCAACTGACTGGCATCCCCTGAATTTCTGATTCTTTGTCACCACAAAAAGAGTTGTTATAAATACTGTTGTACATAGGTCCTTTTCCTTTTTCTTTGATTGCTTTGGGGTATAGACCTCATAGTGATATTACTGGGTCAAAGGGTATGCACAGTTTTATAGCCCTTTGGGCATAGTGGCACATTGCTCTCCAGAATGACTGGCTCGATTTACAACTCCATCAACAATGCATTACAATTCCTATTTTTCCACATCCCCACCAGCATTTGTAATTATCCTTTTCTGTCATATTAGCCAATCTGATAGGTGTGAGGTGGTACCTCAAGACTGTTTTAATTTGCATTTCTCTAACCAATAGTGATTTAAAGTATTTTTTATATGACCATAGACAGCTTTGATTTCTTCTGAAAACTGCCTGTTCATATCCTTTCACCATTTATTAAATGGGGAATGACTCATATTCTTATAAATTTGACTCAGTTCTCTATTATGTTTCAAAAATATGGCCTTTATTACAGAACTTGTAAAATATTCTCCCCCAGTTTCCTGCTTCCTTTCTAACCCTGGCTGCACTGGTTTTGTTTGTACAAAACCTTTTTTTTTAAACATAAATTTATTTATTTATTTTTAGTTTTCAACATTCCCTTCCACAAGTTTTTGAGTTCCAAATTTTCACCCCATTTCCCCCCCCCCACCCCAAGATAGCATGCATTCTGAATATCCCTTCCCCTACTCTGTCCTCTCTTCTATCTCTCTCCCCTTCTCTTATCCCCTTCCCCTTCTATTTTCCTGTAGGGCAGGATAGACTTCTGTACCCCATTTCCTATATTTATTTCCCAGTAGCATGTGAAAACATTTTTTTTAAACATATGTTTTTAAAACTTCAGGTTTCAAATTTTCTCTCTTCCTCCCTCCCCACCCACCCTCACTGAAAAGGCAAGCAACTCAATATAAGGTGTACATGTGCAGTTATGCAAAACATGTCCATAGTAGACATGTTGTGAAAAACTAACTCTATTTCCCTTAATCCTATCCTGCCCCCCCATTTATTCTATTCTTTCTTTTGACCCTGTCTCTCCTCAGAAGTATTTACTTCTGATTAACCCCTTTCCCAATCTGCCCTCCTCTCTATCATCCCCCCTGCTCTCTTGTCCCCTTTCCCCCCCTATTTTCCTGTAGGATAAGACAGATTTCCATACCCAAGTGAATGTGTATGTTATTCCCTCCTTAAGCCAAATCCTATGAGAATAAGATTCACTCATTCCCTCTCACCTTCCCCTGTTTCCCCTTCCACGGTAAGAGGCTTTTCTGTTTTTTTTTTTGTGAGACAATTTACCTCATTCTACCTCTCCCTTTCTTCTTCTCTGAGTATAATCCTCTCTCATCCCTTAATTTTATTCTCCAGATATGACCCCTTAATCTTCAGCTCACCCTGTGCCCTCTATCTATCTATCTACATATATGTACATATAATTTTTTTCCTCCAACTACCCTGATACTGACAAAGGTCTCATGAGTTATAAATATCATCTTTCCATTGTGCAAAACCTTTTTAACTTGATGCAATCAAAATTATCCATTTTACATCCTGTAATGTGTTCCCTCTCGTTTGGTCATAAATTCTTCCCTTATCCATAAATCTCACAGGTAAAATATTCCATGCTCCCCTAATTTGCTTATCTTTTTACATGTAAATAATGTACTCAGTTTGACCTTATCTCTGTATACACGGTGTGAGCCCCCTATTTCCAGTAAATATAGCTTCTCAACCTTATAGTCACTCTGCCTTTTCCCTCTCCTTCACTTCTATAATTCTATATTCAACAATACCTCTTGCATCTGTCCCCTTTCCACTTGTGACCACTACCTTGGTTCAAGCCCTCAATACACTACTTAGACTATTGCAGTGCTACTTAATTGGTCTCCCTGCTTCCTCCTCTAACCCACACTCCACACAGCTGCCAAAATAACCTTCCTCATGCACAGGCCTGATTTTGACATTTCTCTGTTCTACATACAACACTTAGTGGTTTCCCACTGTCTTTCTTTAAAAGATACAGTCTTCTTACCTTGGGATTTAAAGTTCTCCACAATCTGGCTCTAATCTATACTTTCCCAGACTCACCCCCTACTATACTCCATCATGTACTGTTTCTAGCCAAACTGGCTTAATAGCTTTTGTCCAAATGGGATGAGCCATATCATTTCCCTCTGTGTAATTTCAAAGACCATCTCTTACATCCTGAATGCATTCTCCTTTTTTTCTACTTCTCAAGTTTCAGTTTCAGATGTAATTCCTAGATGTCCAATTGCTTTTCCTAATCTTCCCCTTACCCTGGCAAATCCTCTCTACTTTCTCAAATTAACACAAATTTATTTATTTCTGTTACATCATATCTGTCCTTGTAATTTAAACTCTTAGGTGGCTGGATTTTTTGTTTTTGATGTGTGTCTACTACTTGCTAGGAGCTTGTGCTCTGCTGGCATGGCCTTTTAAAAATTGCGCCAGGGCATCTCTATGCTAATACATTTTATTTTATTTTTTTGCTAGGCAATGGAGTTAAGTGACTTGCCCGGGGTCACACAACTAGTAAGTGTTACGTGTCTGAGGCTGCGTTTGAACTCAGATCCTCCTGAATCCAGGGCTGGTGCTCTATCCACTGTACCCCCTAGCTGCCCCTATGCTAATATATTTTAGCAGAAATGAAGTGGAAGCTCAAATATTGGAAGAATTTTAAATATAAGGTGAAATTGGCAATTACTCTCTTTTTCAAGTACAAATTAAAATTTGATAGTCATAGATTCTCTTGTTAGCCTAAATGAATCAGTTCCATTGTTTAGAGTATATACTGTTGAGGCCAAGTTTAAAAGATTCATTCCCATATCCAAAAGACACAATCTCATTCAAAGGGCTTAATTTACCTCCCTAACCTTGGCTGGAATGTATACAGCACAAGGATAAAGAGAACGATTTAACAGAATCTGACATCATTATTAGAGAAATAGCATATGCCCTATTAATGGTTCACCAGTATGTTCCCCCATATACCAAGGACAGCAGAACTATATCTGAATATGAAGTAGTCATATTTATAAAATTTTCTGAATACTTCATTAAAAAGGCTCTTGGTTTCTTAATTTAGATATGTCTGGTGGCTTGTGTAGTACACAAGGAATTTGACATTCTCAAATACAACGAAATATCATTAGAATGTCTATCTTCTGATTAGCAAGCTTGGATTCACAGCACAAATGAGTTTTGAGAAAGGAAAGGAAAAACAGAGGCAGCAAGAGTGACAGTCAAAACCTGTAGCTCTAACAAATTCTAAATAGTTAGCTTGAGCTACCTTAAATCTTAGGTTCCAATGTGGTACTTTAATTTGACAAGTGACTTATTCATATTGAGCAACTGTTGACAGGCAGAATGCAAATGACGTAGAACTTTTCTTAGATCCAAATTCTATAAATCTGATGCCCTCTATGGTTAACATAAAATGTATATGCCCTATAATGTCCTTCTTTACCAATGTAACATTGAGGGAAAATGATTAAACGACCCCCTTTGTCATATCCCAATCTAATCCTTTACCTGGAGGTGCTGGGGGAGGTAGCCTCGGTGGTGGTCCTCGTGGAGGAGGACCAGGAGGAAGACCAGGAGGTGGGCCTGGTGGTGGACCAGGAGGCCTGCCCGGTGGAGGACCAGGAGGTAAAAGTCGGGGTAAAGGCCCTCGAAGTCCTGGCATTCCAGGTGGTCTTAAGAATGGAGGAGCTCCTGTAAAAGGAAAAATCATTAAATCAAAATAAATTTACTTACAAATGAAATGTTAGTACAAAGATAAACTATCACTTTAACTTAAAAGTTATCTTGGAAAAGTAACTGAAATTTGCACACGAACAGTTATCAGACAAACATTCTTATTTCTATAATTCTAATATTCAGCATTGTAATAATGCTTGCTGATCTCTTCGTGGGTAATAACAAATAAAATAGATAATTACAGTGCAAACAGAACAAGTCTTTTAAGGTCAAAATGAGGCATATCAAGCAATGAGACACAGCTATGGACCACTGGGAACCAGAACATCAAATAAACTTTTCTGCCAATCACAGATGGCTTGGGTTAACAATTAAAACAGAATCACAAATAACAGGTTCTATAAATTATCAGCTGGCATCGTAAATAAATTTATATATTTGTTCATAAGATATTGTTCATTGTCTGTTGGGGTTTCTATTTAAGAACAGAATGGATTACACTAAGATTGAATTTCACCACAAATCTGCTTAATGTATGAAAACCAGAATTTTCCATTACCAAGGGTTCAAATGCCTCCTACAAAAGCAATACCTACAGCCCTGATGCATCTGTGACTTAGGCATAAAAACAATTCTGACAAATACTTGAGGCTCCCATTGATATGATCAGAGGAGATGAAGTAACTAAAGAGAGGAAAGTTTTAAAGAAAAATGGACAACTGTGACAACATTTAATGTTAAGAATGAACACTTCAAGCCTGGACTCCAGGATACACAGATAGCTCTTGTTTATCCTGTAACTGATTCCATTGGGAAGACTTGAATATCAAATATGTTTACCTGGAGGTGGACCAGGGGGAAGGCCAGTGGGTGGCCCAGGTGGTCGTAATGGTGGAGCAGGTGGTGGCCCAAGAGGGGGTGGTCCTGGCATGGGAGGTGCCTGTATTTGAGCAGGAGGAACAGACTGTGGAGGTGGTTGCTGTTGCTGGGAAGCAGGAGATGATGATGCCCCATCAGGAAGAGATTCTTCTTTGTGCTGCTGCTGTGCTGTATCTTCTGACTCAGAATCATCAGAATCCTCCTCCTCATCATCCTCTGAAAATTCCTCCACTTCTCGCCCCTCTTCAGGAATTTCCTGACCTGAGAAAAATTCACAAATAGAAAGGTAGTGGTGGTGGTACATAGTTGGGAGAACAGTTAATTTACTTTGTGTATCTCTTAGTATGGCAGCACCACAGAAGACACTGCAATAGACATCAGAAACGATGAGGTAAAGTTGAAAGAATATGGGTCTTGGAGTCAGGGAGAGAACAGGGTTCAATTTCCACCTAAAGTTTACAAGCTGGGTAACTATGGGCAATTAAATTAATATTTCTCCACCTTGAGTTCTTCAACTATAAATAGGGATAACACCTATGGTTCTGACTTTACAGGGTTTTTATGAGGATTAAATATGTGGTTTGTAACCATAAGATGTTAAACAAATGCCAATTATTAATCATTCTTATAAGTGCTTTCTGAAAACTGATGATGATAAAAATAGGAAACATGATCAAATAATCATCATTAATGAAAGGTTTAGAGAAAAATGGGTCTAATGATCTTCACCTGCCATTCTAAGCATCATAGCTTGAAGAGGCGTTAATTCCTTCATGTTTTTCTTCTTCTTTCGTGCTTTTCCAGGAACATCAGCAAATCGTACACTGAGACCTAAAAAAGGGGAGAAACACTAAAGTTTAATTTGTACATCATGTTTCATTTTCTTACTTCAGCTGAAGCACAGATTTTGCTTCAATGCCACCCCACTTCTCCCTTTAAAGTCTGAGTGGATCTTTCTGTTTTAAATACGTTTCTTTAAGCATGATTCTGCAGGTTTCAGACTACAATAGATGCTGAAGTTGATATCCTGCTTTGCTCCTGGGGTCAGAGACAACATAGGTACAATTTGCTTCTGAACTTTTTCCCTGATACAAAACCTAGTGGCAGCAATTGTCTTTACCCCAGAATGCTACTTCTAGGCATAGAAGAGAACCAGCTAATCACCCATATATGCACATACATGTTTAATAGAAACCCCTCTCCCCACATGTTTCTAGCTCTTTGAAGTCACCATAAAATCTTGTCAGGATACAAAAGCCCATCTTCAAATCTGGAAATGTAAATGTTCACCAATGCAAAGCTTGGAGCATTAAAATTCATAGTTATTCTTCTTTTGTACTTAATTTTAATTAGGGCACTACATTACCCTATGCTATTAAATTTCCCCAAATACATATATTATTTCATAATAAAGCTAACTATATGCAGGCTTTCTTAATTTATAGATTTTTTCAAAGTACCTTTAGTTTATAAAATGTACTATGCTTAAGTATAATAGAACCTTCTTTTTGTAATTGTTTGATAAATGCTCAACTGATTGAATTTGTACACACCTGATTTTTTGTCCTCATTGTTCTCTCTCTCTTCATCATCACGATGCATGAACTCCTCCCCTTCACTGTCAGCGTCTGACCTGTCAGTGTCACTGTCATCACTGCTGTCATCATGCTTATCTTGATCCATATCTTCGGGATAACCTTCATCTTCGCTGGTGCTGGAAGCATCATCATCATGACCTCGATGAGCTGAAAAAGGAGAGGATAGAACAAGTATTAAACTAAGTTTTTTTCAATTTACTAAGCAAGAATGTAGAGAAATATACCATTATTTAGGACATAATACAACCTATGTAACTAATTTGTTAAAATACTTCTATCAAGCAGCCTGTTCCTAATTCATATAGACATCATGATAATCTTACTACCAATTGGTTTTAAATGAAACCCTAAAAGATTTTTAGGATTTAAATAGCAGCAATTCACAAGCCACTAAAGTCTAGTGAAAATATGGCACTAGATGGAATTCAGAACGATAATCAGTAATAAATCAATGAAACAAAGTCTTTTCCAACTAAGGAGAATAGCTTACCTGTCTCCACATCTTACCCCCCACTTTCCATTCCTGCAACCCCATCACATTTAGCACAACACTAACCCTCTCACATGTCTTTTGCTCTGCTTGCCCCTTCCGCTGTGCTCTCCATCATTAACAAAGTGCTTGCATTTTAAAATATGTCCTCTCTTGGTCCTTCCACCTTCTGGCATTCATGGAGACCTTGCTCCTCCCAGAAAGTACTGCATCCCCGGTCATCTTTTTTTCAGTACTTGCAGCATATTGTTTCCTTCCACCAACCCTGATCCACTGTTCGTAGGAATTGGTCCTTGTTCCTCATTTCCACTTACAAATTGTTTGTTGCCCTCACTCAGCAACCTCCTCCTTTGAGGGTCACTCTATCTAAATATATCATCAAATCTGATAATGGTGGCAGGTATCTACTGGCCCCCAGGTCATTCTCCCTCATTTATCAAGGATTCTGTACCTGGCTTTTAGCGCTTCTCTTTTGTCTTAATTCTTGCTTTTATCCCAGAAAATGTCAACATGTGTTGAAATACTCTGGCCTCTCAGTTCCTCAATCTCAACTCTCATGACCTATTCTTTTTCCACATCGGTGATCCAAAATCCTGAAATTTCATAATATGACTATGACCTCCCAGCTATCATTCCATCTCTTCCTATATCTCATTCCTCAAAAAGCTATTCACCCTCACCTCCAGTTCCAGTACTCCACCCTTCAGGTCATTAGCCTTGCTCTGGATTCTTCCCTTCCCAATCTTGTAGCTTTGGTTAACCAGTTCAATATCATATTCTTCTTTACTCTCAACTTCCTTTCCCTCTTGTCCTACTGCTACTAATGCCTTGCCAAAATGCAAACACAAATTACTGCCCCCATCTACTTAATGACTCCTACTCAACTGCTAGAGGAAGTCATGAAATCATGCTGAAGAGATGCACCATAAATTTAGGTTATCTAGTTTCAAATGTATTCTCACTACAGAAAGACAATAATTTACTTTTCCTTAACTGATTCTCTACTACACCACCCATAGTTGCTATTTTAAATCTCAAAATCTGAACCTCATTACCTTCTTAGCAGATTTCACTTCAGTGAAAATTTCAAAACACAAGGTCATTCACTATTAGTTTTCTCTTTTGCTACATCTTGAAACCCCTTGACAATATCCTCCCAATCAAGTGCTTCAAAACAACGGAATTTATTCTCAGAAACAAGCAAAACCTTCCAGAGACTTAGCAAATGGAAGAGTTATTAAGTCTTCTACAGTGTGGTGTAGGCTTCTTAAAATTGGGGGGGGGGGAGGGAACACCAGTTTTTTGAAAGCTGCTAACTGTTGCTATGACAAAAAAACCCATCATGAATGAGCAAGACACTACAAAGAAGAGAGTACCGACAATTGGTAAAGCATCACTTTTACTGAAATTCATTTTTTCATTTAATGTACATCAAAACCATTGTCAGAAGTTCTGGTGAGCCTATAAGATCTCAGTATGTTCACCAGAGATTAGGCACTATGGACAGAATGCTGGGCTCATAGGCAGGAAGGCCTGAGTTCAAATTTTAACCTACGATACTTATAAGCAGGGTGACCCTGGACAAGTCCCTTAACCTCTTTAGTCTAACTTTCTTCATCTGTAGCTACTTGCACCTGGCCTCTATCTCCTCTCCCCAACCACCTTGCATTTATACACGTTTTCCTGCATAGAACGTAAGCTCCTTGAGGGAAGGAACCATTTTGTACAGTACAGATGCTTAATAAATTATTGCTTGTTGATTGTGTATAACATAAAAAAATACAATGATCCTATGATCCACATGATCCAGGGAATGTTTAAGGAAATGAGTGAAACTGAATCTTCAACATGGCTACACACAGTATTCAAGAAGTGCTATGAAATCCTTTAGAAACTCTACAGTGGGATTGGTTAATTATTATCACCACAATGACACTTACATACGTGACACCAGCTATGATAAAACAGTAAGACAATATGTTCTGTAAGGTAGAAAGAATGCATATATTTGATTACAGGTATATTTTTGTATGTATATAAGTATATATTGTTATACTGGCCAAGAGCCAATCATGGGCTCAATCCCACTAATGATTAACATGGAAGCTTTAACCTGTTCGTTTTTCTGACTTGGGCCAGTTTACCCTGGTAGCTTTCTACTACTGGCATTATAATGGCACCAGACTCAGTGCAGACACCTAATTAACCTGAGTCCTACTGTAGCTCAGAACTCACAAACTCAAGTGATCCACTAACCTCAGACTCCTACATGAACTACAAGTGTGGGCCACCATGACCAGCTGGTATTTACTGAGATGCAGAGTGGGGTACCGGATAGAGAGCAGAACACTTGGGTTAATGTCCTACTGCCGACACATTCTGAGTATGTATGTGTGACCCTGAGCAAGCCATTTAACCTCTAAGTTTCCCAGGGAACTCTCTAAAATTAGAATTCCAGAGTAGGTGCCAATCAGATTTGGTATTTCACCCGCAGGTGAGTTTTCTCTATGCTAATAAAATCACAGGTTTTGCCTTTCCCTACAAGACAGATACAGATATTTTAAAGATATATTTAAGTGGCATCTGATTTTAAACTTTTAGGACAGGGCCAATTTAATTTTTGTCTTTATATCTTCAGTGCCTACTAGTGCTCTACTTGTAAATAGGGACCTAATAAGTACATGGTTCAGCACAGTGATAGATGTAGTGGCAGAGGATGTAGGTCAATCCCAGCCCTGGCACTTCCTAGCTGTGTGCCATTGGGAAAGTCACTTAAGCTACCCAGCACCACTTATTTATAAAATCAAACAGGTGGATTAGCTGCATCTAAGTTCCCTTCTAGTTCTAAATCTATGAAGCTATGATTTTGTAACTCTTTTCACTGAATTGAACTGAAATGAATCTTCAACAAGGCATATTTCTAAGAAGTGTTCAACAAATGCTATCTGATGACAATGAAAAACAACAGATACAAAAGTGGCTGACATCTTACCAAGTTCTGGACTATATAAAATATCCTCTTCTCGCCGACGAGGGGCAAGTTCTAGGGCAAAGCCCACTTTACGGCCATACATCTGCAGAACTTGGGGAGGAGGTGGCCCAGGGGGTGGGCCGGGAGGCTTTCTTCCAGGAGGCAAACGAGGAACACCATGTCCAAGAAGAGGAAGTATAGAAATTGCCCTGGTGGGAGGTCTGGGAAGAGAACGTTTTTACTGATTTTTATTTATGTTCTACAATACCAAGGGATTCCATATTTCACATGTAATCAAAGGATTCCTTCCTGAGAAGCAGTGTGCTGTGGTAGAAGGGGCAATGCACCCAGGAGGCCAATGGTTATTCCAAGTCTGTTGCTAACTAGCTTTGTGATGATAAGTTACTTATCTCTTCTGGGCTCCAGTTTCCTCACTTGTAAAATCACGGGGTAGGTTTATGCAATTTCTTGGCTCCCTTTTAGTTCTAGAACTTTGGGGAACTTCAGGCTCATGTCCATACATACTTCAATACATCTATGAACTTACTGATATGGGTAACAATGACAGCAATAGATATTTATATGGTTTAACAAACCAATTTACATATATTTATCTCATTTAAGCCCCACAAACAACTATTATCTCCATTTTATACATAAGGAAACTGAGGCTCAGAGAAATTAAGTGACTTGCCACAGTCATACAACTGTTATCAGAGACAGGGTCAGATTCCACGTAGACACACTTTTTTCACTTTACAGCATGGCCTCTCTACACCACACTTTTTTTTTATTGCAGATAGGAACTCATTCATGCCTTCTTACTACGTCCATTGTTTCACCATAAATTCTCCAGAGGAGATAGCCCACATGCCATAGGACTTCCTCTAGGAAGTATACCAGAACACTGCTGAGTACATACAGTACACTCCTTCATCATCAAACACCACAGATACACACATTATTTTTAACTCCCTCTCCACCCACTGCATTTGAGAAATCATTTAGTACTTAATAACTGCTATTTAACCATAATGATGCTTCTTTACCCATAGGCAGAGGTTTTTTTGAGAATAGAGGGTGGCTGTGCACCAGGCAATGGGATGTCTTGGATCAAGATGTTAGAAGGAGCATGAGGCATATCTGGCAATGGGATGCTTTCCACTTCAACATGCTGAGCATTCTGAAAAGAAACAAATAGATGGTAAATCAATACAGAAAAATAAGGAGACACATCCATACAGGAATACCAATTCAGTTATTTTACAAACTGGATTAATTTCTACTAAAATGTAAATATGAAAATGGTAACAGCAATAATCTGTACAATATACAATCTTAAATGAATAATACCAATAACTTTCCAAAATAAAAGACATCTCTCTTCAACTAAACAGCCTAAAGAGTCAAATTTTTCTTTTAATTCTACCTTTTTTTCAGTTGTAATTTGTTTGAAATAAAATAGAAATGATGATGAAATATCTTGCACTTGAGTGAATACAATTTAATATTCTGGGTAAATGGGGAAAGGAAATTGTAAAATTTTGTAATAGCATAAAACTAAGGAATGAAATTATATAAACAGGCTTAACTTATTTATCCTAATGAATAATCTGTATCATGTTCCACAGAATAAGCAAGTGTAGAATAAACCTGTTTTAAGACTAGGTCTGGTGGTCTTGAGACTGTCTCTTAAGGGAGTCTGTAAGCTTACAGAACACAGTCTTGGAAAAATATTGACAATATTTTTCAAAGGATGATATGGCTGTGTCTCCCAAAAAATAATTTGCCTACCACCAGCTTGTTGTTCTCCTAAGACAGACTCCCTTATGCCAGAGGACTGCTATAACACACTCTTATTAACTGATAAGAAATCCTTTCCTTTATTGTACAGATAAGTTTTATTAAACATACTACCATTCTCTCTCCAATGCAAAGCTGTCACCTTTCCTGAAATTTTTTGTTCCAATTTATATGCAACACCTAACCTAGTATTCAATTATGGGGCAATTTATTGTTTTTTTAAACAGTAGTTGTAATTAATATATCTACTTAGAGAAACTTCATAGTTAGGTTTTATTGTTCCCTACCACCATCCAAAATCTCTATCAAATATAGCCAAATATTATTCATACCAATGGGAGACAGAGTACAGAGACAGCGCAAAATGTTGTTTTATTAAAAAATTTGAAGCTGAAAATCCTACCAACTTTTTTAAAATCAGAAGTAAAACTGTTTTTGAAATTCCTCTTCCTCATAAAAAAAACAAAAACAAAACAAAAACTTAATTACCTTTACAGCATCAAAGTACTGGCTGAGCTGGGCCCTCTTCTGCTCATATTCCACTTCTAATTTTCGGAGTTCTTTGTAGATATCTGGATTTTCCTTTTCATAGAGTCGGAGAATGCGCTCAAAAGTTTCACGAAGTTTTTTTCGCTTATCTTTTAGCACCTTTTCATTCAGCTGTGGCTGCTGTACTGGATTGAACTCTGATGGAAGAAAAACAGATTATTGTTTTTTTTAAAAGAGTCACTTTTTTTGGGTTATATGTGGTTCATAAGTCAGATTTTAGAAATCAATAGATTTAGAGCTAGGAGGAACCTCTGAGATCATCATTTGCAACTCCTTCATTTTATAGATGAAGCTGAGGCCCAGAGTTGCTAAGCTCATAGGTTTGAAGTGAAAGAGTCATTATTTTAAATCTAGGTCCTCCCATTCAAATCCAGCACTTTCCATGACACTACAAATCAAAGGCCGTGACCTATATGATTATGTAATTTTCATAAAAAAAAATTTCTAAGAAATGGTCTCTAACAACCAAGTATATGATATTCCCTCTCCAGAGAAATAGGTTTAATTTCTTTGAGCAAGTATAAATATTGACAATTATTTCTTTAAGAAATACTTTTTATCTCTGTAAAGCCTTATAACCTTCAACAAACTACCCTAAGACTCAATAAACCAAAGTATTCACATAGAAAACTGGGTCTTCTTCAAAAATCGTGCCCTTCTGCATCCTCTTACTCACCCATCTCATCCAATTTCTCCATGTCCCGGATAATCTGTTTGGGATCCTTCATCTTTAGTACTGCAGCTCGTACCATCATTCGCTGTTTCTTATTCTAAGAACATTAAAGAACGGCAGAAACTCAAACAGTTGAACTTAAAACAATCTTTTATTTCAACTCCATTAAAACTAAATTGTGGTCTTCATCTAAGTTTCTGCTCATCTATTCTAACAGGTTAAAGTTCAGCTAAAAACCATAATTTTTTTAAAAAGAAAAACATTTTTTGAATTCCTATTAGGTCTTTAGCAGATTTCTATATTATTTTTATAACCTTCATGTGCAGCAGTATCTTCAGTAGAGTTTGCAGATAAATTCAAAGACTTAAAATGATTACCAATCTCTGGTGAAAAAAGTTTCTTTAGTTGATTTAATTCTCATTAAGTGGTTTACAATATGAAAATACAGTAGGGAACCATTTGTTCATTCACCTAACATTTATCAATTATCTACCGTATAAATTAATTAAATGAACCTAGTTTTTCTTTTTGTTGTGTTGTTTCTGGTGAGGCAACTGGGGTTAAGTGACTTGCCCAAAGTTACACAGCTATCAGTGAGTGTTATGTGTCTGAGGCCAAATTTGAACTCAGGTCCTCCTGACTCCAGGGCCAGTGCTCTATCTGCTGTGCCATCTACTTGCCCCAAACTTTGTTTTTCTTTAAGAAGCCTTTCAGATCACAAACCTAATAGTAACAGATTTCAAAATGATAGAGTCTAAAATAAGGAAACAATGCAAAATTTAGTTTTCCTGAACCAAAAAATGTGGTTATAAAATATAGCAAAAGCCATACAGCACATTTATACCAAGAAATTTTTCTTCTGTTTTTCTTGATTCTAATTGAAACTGAAAGCTTTTTGCACACTCACCCATAATACAAACAGTTGAGTGTTAATTTTGCATTAACGTTTTTCCTTGGGTGAGTGGGATGGTTTAAAAACAAAGATATGGGTTGGGAAAGATTTTACATGTATTTGAAAGGCAAAATCAATGTAACTCCTAAGAAAATATTTTTACTTTATAAAATAAGGAGCAATCCAATGTGAGAGATGGTCAATTTCTTAAAAAGAAATTATTATAAATTTGGATGTGGAAATAGTTGATCCCTAAACTTTAATTTTTTTAAACAATACTGCTCAGTTCAATACTGTGAGTAGCTATTTCTAGGGGGAAAAAAATCATACCTTTTTTAATTCCCTCTTCCGGGCTTCTTTTCCTATAAAGGAAAGGAAAAAAAAGACCACACGATATAAAATCCTGAATATTCACCATCTCCTTCTTTGTGTCAATTTCTACTAGTTACATTTTCAGTGGCTAAAAGCATCTTCCCCAAAAGGCCATATTTCAAGATTCTTTTTTCAATAATAAAAACAAGACATGAAAAAGCCACTAAATAACTTAAGGACTTCTTAGTACTTTATGTTTTAAGGCTATGATTAAAAGCCTAAATCTTTATTAGAAAGAGTACTATGGATAAAGTATATTTGATGCATCAAACTGAAACAAATTAAAAAATATATGCTACGTACCACGGTATCATCAAAACAAAGGCTCACTGAACCCAAAGCGTCCCTCAAAATTCCCAAGATCCAGAGAACTTTACAAATGTATATATGTATGTGTGTGTGTGTGTGTGTGTGCATCTCTACCATTTACACAGTATATAATTAAAGGAAAAAGTATTTGGAATAATATTACTTTTTTCCCCACTTTCAAGTAAAAAAGTTTAAATTAGGGGAAACTAAATAATTTGGCAATTAAATAACTAAATAATGGGGAACCATTTGGCCCTCTAGGTCCTCAAGTGTGGCCCTTAGAAGAATCCAAACTTCACAGAACAAATTTGTTCTGTAAAATTTGGACTCAGTCAAAAGGCCGCACCCAAGGACCTAGAAGGCCACATGTGGCCTCGAGGTCGCAGGTTCCTCACCTCTGAACTAGACCTTCCTAGCTTGGCTGTTCTAGTAATAAAATTAAGATAAAACAGACTTCTTAATATCTGTAATTTATAATATTTATTAATCTTTGCTTCACAATCCCATGCAGTGCATACTTACGAGCCTGGTCGGTGGGGTTCATGAACTTCCCACTCTTGGTGGATGATGTAGATCTCCGCCCCATTTTCACAGGTTATATGTTTTAGTCAGTTGGGGGAGAACCTAAAAAAAAAAAAAGTAAATATACTTATCCTCTTAAAGTGCCTTCACTGTTAGAATCCTTATCTTTCAATAACTTTTCTTAAAAGCACACTATAAAATACATTCTTGTCTCTGTAATTGTTAGTAATTCTTTTTCAGGTATATGGAGTTATCCAGGATTTTGAATTTGGAGTTCAGATAAACTGGATTCTACTTCCTAGAGGATATATGACCAGAATAATTAGCAGAATCAAAAAGGTAACTGGCAATTCTATCATCCGGTTGCTGACTATAGTTCTAAATGGTAATTAATTTGGAGAACAAAACTGATATCCTTTAAAAATAAATTAAATTTTTAAATGAGCACCAAAGATGAGGAAATAAGTCAATTTAAATAATTAGGATTTAGGATGTAGATTATATATTTTCTTTACAGATTGGTATACAGACAGATATTAGGTCTTTTCTTACCTCTATTACTCTAAATAGGTTTCTAAGAGTTAATCTAGTTTAATATATACAGAACAAGTATTCTCTCTCTCTTATATGCCCAACAAAGTAGTCTGTTTGAAGACCACCACTGAGAAACAATATACTACTTTCTGAGGCAGACCATTCTATTTGTAGGTAGCTGTCAAGGTTAAGAAGTATTTCCTTATGTCAGACTTAAATTTCTATCTCATTACTTTGGCCCGCTGCTTTTAGATCTGCCCTCTGGGGCCAAGTTGAACAAGCTGTCTTTTTTCCCACATGACAGTATTTCAAATACTTATAAACTGGTTATCACATCTACCAAAATCTTCTCTTTTCCACTCTAAAGATCCCCAGTTTCTTATTTTCATATGGTGCTATATTTAGGGTCTCCTTTAGTTCTTCCTAAAATGTGATCTCCAAAAGGAATAATTTTCTAGATGTGGTCTGATTAGAAGAGTACATTGTTACTAGAATCTCCTTTCTGGATACTATGCTTGTCTTAACAAAACCTAAGATCACATTAGCCTAACTATGATCTAACAATGCAGACTCATAATGAGCTTGCAATACATTAAACTCCTAGTTGTTATTCATAAAAATGATCTCATCATTTAAATTGCTATCTAGTCTTCTTTTATTTTAAAAATTAATTTGCTTCTGTACAATGTACCTTGAATCTAGTAGACATTGTTATAGTCACTATAAAACCTATTTCTCAGATTGTAAATGCAATATTGAATTCAATTTTACATGTTTTAATGATATCAGGCTACCAAAAGAATAAACTATAGAGCTGACACTTCATGAGTCTACATAGCATTAAAAATGCTGACAAAATGTCAAATAGGCCAAAAAAAAATTTCCTTCCTCAGACTTTAGTTGCAATTTAATACAAACTGGACTTTACACATTAAAAAAGACAGCACAAAATACTGCATTATCATCAATTCTATTCAAATTCAAATAAGATTTTATGGCACCCATTAATACCAGTACACTTTCTAGGGGATTGTGTTTTGAACACATATTGGCTTCTAATTAATGTTAACAGTCTTTCAACTTGACAAGAAGTGAGAAATTGAATGTTCTAGAAATGATATCTCCCATCTGTTAGATTTTAGTGGTTTACTGACAGCACTGCAGTTAGGAGACACATCCTCCTTAGAAAACTTCAAGAACATCAACCCTGGTACTAACAGAGCCATGTTATTAACTCTATTAACTGTAAAGATCCCCACTTCCTTATTTTCATATGGCCCTATATCCAGGGCTTGCTTTAGTTCTTCTCTATTAACTGTAAACTGTGCCTTAACATAACTCTATACATCTTTTTCCAAGAGATTTCTTAACAGTCTTTATTCCTGCTTCTTTGTTGACCAGACATAAAGCAATATTGTTCAGGCTGAATTAAACTCTCTGATCAGATAATTTGTGACTTGCATTTCTGAAATCAGTTAAGGAACCACAAAGGTCTTTTCCAACAGTGACCTTTCAGCTAAGTTAATGGACAGACTGAATAGTCAGATAACTGATACAATGCCAAACTAAGTCATTCAGTCCTATCCAACTCTTCATGACCCCATGGTCCATGGGGTTTTATTGGTAAATATACTGGAGTAGTTTCCAATTTCCTTCTCTAGTGTGCCCCCATTTTATAGATGAGGAACTGAGACAAATAGGGATTAAGTGACTTGCCCTAGGCTACACAGCTATTAAGTGTCTGTGACAGGATGTGAACTCAGATCTTCCTAAATGCAGGCCTGGTACTCTATCCACTGCATCACCTAGCTGCCCTGGTATGCAAATTACTTTTGAAGAAATAATTGACATGGTTTTATTTTGTACGGAGGTATAATACATAAAGAGTAAGTTCTAAAAGCCACGAGGACCAAAGTTCAGATTCTGTGTCTAACATATAGTGTCTATGTCATCCTGGTTGAGGAAGTCATTTAACTACTATTAGTGCCTAGGCAACTATCTTAAGACCAAGTTTCATAAAAAAAGATGCCAGTCTTCATTGGTAAAGGGTGTTTCACCCTCTCTGAATTAGTTCTCTGTAACAATGAAATCATAGGTTTATTTTGTATTTTGTGACATTAATGCTTATGCGTGCCTCCTGACTGAACTGGTTTCACCACCTACATTAGCTGAGTGTTTTTGTGCACCACCCTTCAACCCCTAAAAGTCCTCTCTTGTTGATTTTAATTCTGTCATTTTTTTTTTTTGGTAAGGCAATTGGGGTTAAGTGACTTGCCCAGAGTCACACAGCTGGTGAATGTTGTGTCTGAGGTCACATTTGAACTCAGGTCCTCCTGACTCCAAAGCTGGTACTCTATCCACTGCGCCACCTAGCCACCCCTAATTCTGTCATTTTTAAGCATGGATATTACTCCAAGGAAATCTGCAAAAGATGTGGCTCTTAAAGTATACTTCAATGAGTGGTAGAGATATTGTAGTACCTGTTAGTATAGGAAAGTCTGGTGTTCTGAGGGTCACTTAAGCATACAGTGAAACAGGATGTCTTACCAAAGTACAAAGAAAAGTATGGCTGCAAACAAAAAATAACTATTACCATAAAACAGCCTCAAGAAAGAAACAAAGACTCTCAAGGGACCTGGCACCTGGGAGGGTTGTTATTCATTCCTCTACAATGTGATGTAGGCTTCTTGAAATTTCAAGGATGAGAAGATTAATTTTTTAAAAATTATTTACTGTTGTTACAAAGAAAAAGCACTTGTCATGGGCAAGACAATACAAAAACTGGAGTACTGAAGATTGGAAGAGTATAATTTTTACTGGTGAAACTCACTTTTTCATTCAAAGCAATACACCAAAACTAGTATCAGCAGAAGTCTCAGTGACTCTGAAACTCTTTCATCAGACTGTGTAACATCCACCTGCAAAAAATATTTCAGACACTTTGACTTTTAGTAGGCCCTGAACTCTGATGAAAGAAGCAGAACTGTTCTAGAAATACAGAAATTCTCAAATGGAAAAAAAAATGCAGCAACAACTTGTATCATACCCCAAAAAAGGTTAAAAAATTTATCCAAGAAAAGGAGAAAGACATGCTTCAATGGTCTGGGAACTCACCTGATTTAAACCCCATGGAAAACTTATGGGTTATAATCAAGAACAGACTTGGAAAAATTAACTATTTGTCAAAGTTATGGTTAATATCCAATGTGCTAAGTGTGGTTTCATATGAAGAATTAACATTACAAGGACCAGGTGTATCAAATGATGCAAACTTTTGTTATAATTTTACTCTGGCAAACATTTTCATCTTATCTCTATTTTCTTTGCCTTATGGATTTTTTTCAAAATGCACTGCATAAATTGATGCCACTATGTCCTTCAAGGTTTTTTTCTGAAGGACTCTGGTCTTTGTAGTGTTGAAGAAAATGTATGATAATTCTTATGAATTCAATGACAAACTGTGTAAAATAAATGACTATGGCAAAAAGAGGACATTTTACAAGTTTTTTTCCTCTACATATAAAAAGCTGTAAAGTTTATATTTAAGTCAATAAATTTAATTATTTTACTTTATCCTAAGTAATTAGCATACCCTTATAATTCAATCTACTTGGAATCTTATTACTCATGAAATATAGTAATAAAAAAATTTATTATCAAATGAAATATCTGAAAAGCAATTAGTACAGCACATCACACATAGTTGGTATTCAATAAATGTGTGATACCTTCCCCTTCCCCAGTCATTTTCAAGTTGAGAATCAAGATAACAAATTTCTTATCTTAATGAATTCATTTCCCTCTTGAAGTAATTTCATTTATTTCATGGAAGCAGAGAAAAAGCCTTCGATTTCATGTTTTCCCTTCAATTCAACAAACAACAGAAAATGAAAGAATAAGGTTGGGAGGAAAGTCTAAGAGTTAAAGAATAAACTTGGACCACCTCAAAATACCACCTAATTGTTATACTTCTTCTCTACAATGTCTTGGATACATATACTATAGGGAGTCAGTAACCTAAAAGCACAGGTGTCAAAGACAATCACAGAGAGAAGCATGAGTAGCTATTAGGACCACATGGTTACATGTCATTAATACAGTTAGTAACAGAATTCTCTGACTCTAAGCGAGATTCAGTATCTGATTTTCATGACAGAATTTTCAGGTTGGTTTATGAATATGAAGATAAGTACTTGGTAATTACTTTGAGACAGTATGACTATATTAACCATTTGTTTTGTTTGAATAGTGATCTGAGAGTCAAGGGAATGACAGATATATTTAGATTTCGTAAAAGTATCAATGAAGTCTGTTACAATATCCTTATGGTCAGAAGAGTAATTGAATAACCAAAACCAAAGAGTGGGGATTAATGGATCAATACTGGCCTAGAAAGAGACCTCTAGTGGAATGCTCTAGAATTCTTTTCTGCTCAATATTTTCATTAATGGCTTGAGTGAAGGTACAGATGGTATGTTTACACACTTTTCATTTGGCACTCAGCTAGAATGCATAGCTAATATGTTGAATGACAGACCTGGAATCTAAAAAGATTCTGATAGGCTAGAATGATAGGCCAAATTTTCAATAATTCTTCATAATCTGGAACCATGGATACTCCTTCCACTAACGTAGATAACAATTAATCCACACTTCCTCAAAGTGTTTGATGTTTAGCCAAGTCTTATCAATACTACACAGAGGATCTGAGGCCTTCTGGGCATTTTCACATTTCATCAACAGCAAGTGCAAAACACAAATTTACCTATTTGTTAGCCCTCACTCCTGTTAAACAACTGATCCACCTTCTTTTCAGATCATACATTTCCTTGACAATATCTTTTACACCACTTCTCAAGCGCCATTCATGGTCATGTTACCAGAATACCAGTGTAACTGAAAGCACTGTAGATTTCCCCTCCCCATTTAAAAAGTATTAATAAAAAAGCAGTAGTCAATTTTAAAATATGCACCCTGCCACTAACACACACCTGAATCCCAGTGGAACCCTCTCTTGTAACAAAGTAAAAACAGCTTGACCATAACTGTTTGAAAAAGGAAAACCATATGCAAACACTGGAAATTTATATTATTCATCTCTATTTTTTTCCTATGAGAATTATTAGGCCTCTTTTGAGTACTGGTACATTTCACCAATGAGACTCTTCAGTTCTGAGTCTTAATGCAATGAGAACAAAGTTATCTGTAAAGGGAAAAATCTCACAGAATCTTGGAATTGGAAGAGACTTCAGAGACTATCTAGTCTGACTTAAACAGGGATATCTCCTTTTTTCAGCATCACTGACAAATATTTATCCAGCTTCTGCTTAAAGGGTTCCCAGGTAGCTCCTTTCAGAGAATCTTAGTTATTACAAAAATTTCCTTTCTATCAAGCCTAAATGTGCTGCTCTATAATTTCTAACCACTATTCCTTCTATCCTTTGGGGCCAAATAGATCCAGTTTAATCTCTTTTTCCATGAGAGGCTTTCAAATAATTAGACACAAATAATCTACTCCCCCACTTCTCAAAGGCTTTTCTTCTTTAAGCTCATCGGTCATTTCAGACTAACTTCTTATAACATTAAGTTCCCTTAGCAGCCTGGCTGACCTGTGGATGCTCACCAGCAATATTCTTTATGAAACAGAGCAGCAATAAGAATGTACTGACCCTCTTGGGCCTCTCTGGATCATTCCTATTCTCCTACTCAGCAATCACAAAAGGCTCCCAAACAACATAAAAATGTTATAGCTGGAAGGAACCTTGGTCTAATCCTAATACTTTACAGATGAAGCAAACTTGTGAGACCTCATCACCCAAAGGTATTACTTGTATACTCTATTCAGAGCACTCTTCAGGATGATGGTAAACATTCCCACATCTCCCTATTTTATGGGAGGCATATAAATATGCCTTCATATTTATAATCAGAAGATTGTTAGTTATCTTTGTATTTGCATCCATCAAAGATTTTTAAAAGTTCTTCATGTGCACAGGAGAAAAACTTCCTGTAGAACTTATAAATACAGTGGGACAGAGCTATGACATATACTTTTTAGTCTATTATCTGGCTGTGGCAAGTGGCCTGCTATAAAAATAAAAAATTTATTAAAGTCTGTTCCCTGAAGAACCAAATCTATTATGATAAAATTTAATCCTGATACACGCCCTATTTTGTGCAATACTGGTGTTATTCTTGCTCACAATCTACATTCCATCAGGGTGATAGAAACTGATAAGTACAAAGGTAATTTGAGTAGGGAGAGCCTGACGACAACTAGGAGGACCACAGGAGGCTTCAAGGAGGTAATACTTGAACTGAGCCTTGATAATACTAAGAAGCAGAAATGAGGAAAGAGTTCATTCAGGGAATGAGAGATGGTTTTTGGAAACAGAGAGAAAGGAAATGAAATGCCAAGTTTGGGGAATGGCTAGGAGTTCAAGTTGGCTAGAACTTAAAAGTACATGAAGGGAAACTCATATGAGCTGGAAGGCAATTTGGAGCCAGATTACAAAACGTTTTAAATACCAGACTGAGCAGTCTGTATTTTTCCTTAAAGACTGTAGAGAGCCAATGAAAGTTTTTGAATAAGCAAGTGCCACAGTAAGATTGAGTGGAGAGACAGAAAAAAAAAATTTGGAGGCTATTATCATAGACCAACAAAGTGGGATAAGGGCCATGTTAACAGAGAGAATAGCACAAGAGATGCTGTGAACTATCAGGACCAGAAAACTAGATATGGGGAGGTGAGGTAGAAGAAAAGATCAAGGTTCACACTGAGGGTTTTAACCTGGGTGTACAGGTGAAATAATAGAGAAAAGGGCAAATAAAGGGGAAAAACTGTTGTGAGTCATTTTGAACTTGCTGAATTTGAGATGCCTATAGAATATCCAGGCACAGATGCCTCACAGGCAGTTAATGGGATGTGATGTTCAACCGAACTGCATATATAGATTCTGGTATCTACAGAGATAACTGAATCCAAGAGAAAATGATGAAATCACCGAAGAAAATGATAAATGAATAGAGTAGGTCCAGAACAGAGTCTTGATAGATGCCCCCTAAGGGCAAGAAATGGATAGTGAACCAATGAAGAAGACTGAAAAGGAATGGTTACAAAGATAAGAAGAAAACCAAGAGAGATCAATGTCACGGAAGCCAAGGGGCAAAAGAACAACCAATGAAAGAGAAGGTCCATGATTGCATCAAAAGCTGAAGTGAAATGAAGAAAGATGAAGATTGAGCCAAGGTCACTTGAGTTAGCAGCTAAAATAACACTAATTTTGGGAAATAACACTGTTAGTAGAGCAGTGGGATTAAAAAACTTTGCAAGTGGATCAGAAGTGAATGAATGAACTGATGAAGCAGAAAAAACAAGAGTAGACATCTGTGCTTAGGAGTTTGTCAATGACAGGGAAGAGAGCTATAGAAGTTTAAAAGAGGTAGCCTAGACAAGTGAAAATATTTTTAGGATGGGGGGGGTAACCTGGGCATGTTGGTAAGCAGCAGGGAAGGAACAACCTGAAAGAGGAAGGCAGTGATCCATGTGGGGCCTATGTTTGGGTTAAAACATTAACTGCAAAAGTGCTGTAGAGCTCATTAAACTATTAACTGAAGCAATTCATTTCTAATGGCAGGGCTCATAGTTTTTTTATGACTTTTTTTTGATGTCTGTAAGAATATTTGCTTCCTATAATTTTGTAACTGCAATTACCATTCTTGTTCTGGAGAAACAAATGAATTGATATTGCCTGTTATAGAATACAAACATGCACATTCATTTATATCTATTTATATTGGTAACTGAAGCCTTTCTTTGCCGTGTTGGGATCTTTGTGTAATGGAAGTCCTCCTCTCCTAGAAAATCTTAGCTATCAAATGTAATATCCCAAGGGAAAAAGTTATAATTCCCATAGTAACATACCCAGCCAAGGGGTCATTTAGCCTCTGACTGGAGACTTACAAGGAGGCAGGATCTACCACTTTTCAGTCCACTTTTGGAGAGCTCTAATAGTTAAGAAGTTTTTCCTGACATCAAATCTTTGCAACTTCTATCCCACTGTGCTTACTCTGGCGCTAAACAGAACATTTAATTTCTTTTCCACACAATACTCCTTCATATACTTGAAGACTTCTATTATTTCCCCCTTGAGTATTCTATTCTGCAGGCCAAACATACATCACCAGTTCCTTCTCAACCTTTCTGAGAACGGCCAGGCAATTTAGAGACAGAACTTCTTAGCCAAGAGTCATGCCCATATTTAAATGGTTAATATGTGCTTTATCTATATGGTTTAATTACTTCTTGCTTTCTTTTGTTTTCCTGCTTATAACTAACCAAAAGGATCTTCCTGTCTCCCAAACTCCTTATTAGACCACGTGGAGTAGGCAGGGAGATAATGATAGAAACATTCCAATCTTATGCCTCTCAACCTCCTCAAAGATCCCAAAGTGTGGATACGGAAGAGGAGGTAACAGAAAACACTCTTCCCACCCCAACCCACAAGTAATCCTTACCGTGGAACCCATTTGCCCCTCATTCACTACCCCCTCTTCCCATTAAACAACCTTAACATTTGTCAGAGATAGGATTTTTTCTGTACAAAAGGGGAAAACTGGGAATCCATCTTTGGAGCAGCCACATCACTCAATTATCTGCAGACTAGGAAGACTGTAGCATTCTTGTTATCTCCAGCCAGCTGTACAGAACATATTTTAATAAATCTCATTTGGACACGTCTTGTTCATGGGTTTTCTCCTTTTCCTGTCTAGAGAGCAGATGGTGGTTTTTCACGTAATCACTCATTTGAAGCTCTCTGCTGACAATGTAGGAGGTGAAATGGATGGGAGAAACTGATCAACCCTCTTTCATTTTAAAGCTAACAGAAGTAACACTTATATAAACGGTTGCAGTGAATAGAGGGTGGGGAAAAACGTGGCTAACCAATTCAAATGAAGAAGTCCCGGAGTTTTTAGTGTACTGCAAGCTCAAAGCCACAATAACAGAAATCAAACTAGCTAGTGAAATCTTAGGCGATATTAAATGAAACAATATCTTGAATAAGGAAAGCCATAGGCCTACTTTACTTTGCCCTGATTAGATAACATCAACAGTAATAGGTTCAGTTCTGGGTACCATGTTTTAGGAAGGACACCAACAAGCTGCAGTGAAACTGGAGGGAGACCAGAGAGAGAAGACTTAACAGCATGCTACATAGTGGCTAGTTGTAGAAAGTGGGAAAATTCAGTCTAGAAAAAACCGAGGGAAATACAATAATTATTATGTGTATAATATATTATGTGAAGATCTGTTACTATGGAAGAGGAAACAAGACTTATTTTGATTGGAGTACAGCCAAGAACAGGGAACAGTTGCAGAGGCAGATTTTGCTTTGATATGCAGAAGGGAAAAATATCCAAAAGAGCTGTTCCAAAAAGAATGGGCTGCTTTGGGAGGCAGTGAGACCAGTCTTATCAGTTATTATGTAGGGACATTCCTCAATTATGTTTTTTTTTTTTACTAAACCTTGGAAATCTCATTAAACTCTGAAATTCTGTAATATGAAGTATTTTGGAGATAAACCACATATTGAGATTATCACATTATGTGACATCATATTTTTATTAAGTGCAAACTTATTATGCAATATTATTTGCTACTTATTCATGCATATTTGAACATGAAGTAATAGAAAGCAATATAAATAGATTTCTCCAAAAATATTCTACAATTTAACTTCTCCATTAATTTGCAACTTTCTATCCCTCTCCTGCTTCCAAGGAAAAAGGTTTCAGTTTTCTTAACTTTCAAACTTCAAATAACATATATGTTTACATATGTACTCACATAAAGAAAGGAGTAGTAAATTGCTGAGGAATATAAAGAGACAATTTCCTCCCTAGCAATAGTTCTAAAGGGCTAGTCAGGACAGTATGTAACACATCATCAATTGTAATTTGTTAATCTCTCTCAAAGAACAGTGCCATTCATATACCTCAACTGCTTTTAAGGGCCTGTGGAGGTTCCAAGTTGCTTGTTAGTGCTCATCAGTTACTTTGTATTTATTCAGCAGATATTTTGCATATGTTATGTATTATTCATCATGTAATTGTGTACATGTTATTTTCTCCCAATAAAATATTAAGTTCTTTGAAAGTATTCCCAGTGCCTAAGCACATCCTGAGGCCACATGTAACCTTCTAGGTCCTCAAGTGTGGCCCTCTGACTGAATCCAAACTTCACAGAACAAATCTCCTTAATAAAAGGATTTGTTCTGTAAAACTTGGATTCAGTCAAAAGGCCACAACCAAATCTAGAAGACCACATGTGGCTTGGAGGCTGCAGGCTCCCCACCTCTGTCTAGTTCAATAAATTAGTGACTGACTCAATTGAAAAATAGCCTGCTTGAAGATTAATATTTCCTTCCCAAAGTTTGGGTGGGGAATATGCAAGCAAATAAATCATAAACTGTCACTTCTCTGATGATCCACAGATTTTTTTTTTCCTTTCAAAATTATGTCTGGATCCCTTGAGATGCAGGATATAAAATGGAAAGCTGGGGCCAGGAGACCTTGGTTCACATCCCAGTTCCCATGCCTACATTCAAGCGTGGAAGTAGACAAGTTACAATATCTGAACTACTTTTATCCTTTGCAAGAGGTACACAATATTTGCTTTACTTATGGCTGTACTTCAATAAGGAGCCAGTACTGTGGCAAGACTACTCCAGTGCTTCCTGAAGACAGAGGAGCTTGGTTCAAATTCCACCTATGCCGGCAAATATGCAGTGACCTTGGGTACATCACATAATCTCCTTGGACTTCAGTTTCCTTATCTGTAAAATGAGAGGGTGAATTCGTAACCTCTGAAACTCCCTTTCCAGTTCTTAGCCCTATTATGAAAAAGTTATACAAACAAGAGCTACAATTGTTCCGCAATCCATCAAAACCTTTCGTTTCTAACAACTCACCCCTCCCCCTTCGAATAATAGCCCTTTGACTACAATAGATTCAGAAACTGGAACAAATACCTGGAACCATAGTTTAGGAAAGCTAAGTTCTTAACAAATGACAGTTGCCGGAAGAAACCCGTAAGAGCCTCACGATCCTCTGAAAAGCTAAGGGAAAAGAAGCAGGGGAGTGCAGAGGAGAGGCGAGGGCTCAGCTCTGCTCTACGACTCGGGCTTAGTCCCTCACACCGGGGGTCCGGCAGGCTCACACTCGCCTAGGACAGGCTGCAACAACGCGGGCAACCCCAAAAGGCATCCAGGCCTCAGGGAGGACCCACGGTGACGAGCGACCCCTCGACTTCAGGCCCACCAGGCAGGACGACAAACACTTCCCCAAACCTAGTGCAACAGGAGAGCCACAAACCAGCCCAAGCGGTCAGCAACCCGACCCCGTGCGGGCCTCCTCCCCACGGCGAAGCCGGGATCAGCTGAACTCCACCGCCTCCCGAGGCCAGGGGGCGGATCTCTCCCCGGATGCTTCAAAAGGACCGCGCAGGCGTCCGGAAGTGGGGGGCCAGGGATGAGGAAGCGGAGAAGAACAGCCTCGAGATATCCTCGAATTCACCTTTCGGCTGCTCGTCGGAGCCAGGGAGGGCCGCAGGGCTGAGCCCCGCGGCGGCTCGCGCGCCCCCCTCGCTCTCCTCGGGCCAGGGGCAGGAGGCCTTCACCTTCGCCTCTCGTTCGAGGCCTAAGACACCGCCATCTTGAAACCGCGCACTGCACCGCCTCCGTCACGTCACTTCTGTTTTCTAGGTGCGTTGCTAACGTCGCAGAGCATTTCCGGCTCCTGCAACCATAGAGAGAGCCTAAGGGCTAGAGGAATTTCCGCTTCGGAATTAGAATTCGTTCGTCCCACCACGCGCTTCCCCAGTGCAGACTGGGAAGGAGGTGGACTTAGTGTCTGGCGTCATTATGTTGCTCTAAGACCCACCCCTTCTCCGCTAACTCTCGAGATTCTTGTCCCCAAACCCAGACTCCCGAAGCTATTGTCGAAGGCGCGGGCGGAAGAAGAGCCGCAGGAGCGAGGCAGGAATCTGATTGGCTGGAGGCGGCCTTTGTCCGTCCCTCGAACGCTGCAGCGGCTGTAGTCCTACTGTATCTCTGCTTGTTTTGACCTCGATTTGTCTGCGGTCTGGCCGCGATTTAGGCCCTGTTCCCCCTGTCCCCAAATATCTACCCTCATTCTCACCCTCACTGAGCCTCTAAAATGAGTAGCCTTCGTTTTTCTAGGCTCTGGGTGCCTTGTCCTTGCCCCACCCCTCATGGAGGAATAGGACAGGTTACTGCATGCACTCGAATGCTTAAAGGAGCCGCCGTTTTGTGGGGAGGGGTCCTGCCTCTAACCACGTAGACTAGAACTCCTTACCTGGCTCGGTCAGCTTTATAGGATCAATCTCGAAGGACCCTTACTGGCCTTCTAACCCAATATCTAGATTTTACAGATGAAGAAAGAGGCACAGAGAAATTAGGTAACTTGTAAAGGACACACAGCCAATCAGTAAGAATTTATTAAGCTCCTAGGTTCCGGTACTGCGCTGCAAAAAGGCAGTTCTCTCAAGGAGTTTTCTGTCTATCGGGGAGACTACTTGCAAATAAATATGTACAAACAAACTACATATACAGGAGAAATTGGAGATAATCTACAGAGGGAAGGCATTAAGATTTAGGACTGGGAGTAGGGTTTGAACTGGAACTTGAAAGAAACCAAAGGGGCCAAGAGGCGGAGATGAGGAGGGAGAGAATCCAGCCATTGGAGGGCATCTGATACATGAAGTTGGGAGATGAAGGTGTTGCATTTGAGCAACTGAGCTGGGTGTTACTGGATCACAGAATAGGGTGGGGGAGTAATGGGGAAGTAAGATGCCAGAAAGAAGACGGGAAAAGGAGCAGGCCATCTGGCTCCTGTGAAGGGCTTTGAATACCAACAGCCACCCCTCTGATGAGCTTCTGAGGTCAGCTAGGTTGGTGGTCTTGTTGACCCACGTAGACACATCGAGGCTAGAAAGCCTTTCAGCTTAGTAAAGCCTTCTGGTCTTTCCTCTGTGACTGTGCGGCTGGAGACTGAGAGTGCAGGTGAAGTGATTTAGTGGAAGATTGCATTCCCTTCTCTTAATGTGAGTGTTGAGTTACTGAACAGACGGAATTCCATCGCAATTCTAACTGGCTTTTGTGGTTCTGGCCAAGTCACAGGACCACTGATTCCTTAATTTACTCATCTGCAAAATCTGTCAATCCTACTTTGTGTTAGACAGGATGCTGGGTATCAGGGACATGAATACAAAAACAAACAAAAAACCAAAAACAACCTTATCTTCTTAAGCACCGGATCTAATATACTGTAGTGACATAAAATGTTGACAAAGAAGTAAATCCAAGATATATGCAAAATAAATACAAAGTGAATGGGTGCAGGCCTATTGTAGGAAGGAGGTAGCACTTCAGCCAGGGGTTTTAAGAGGCACAGATGAGGAGGAGGGATCTAATTCTACACACCGGGTACAAGCTGGTGAAAATGCACAAAGACGGGAAATCGAATGTTTACAGGGAATAGCAAGTAAAGACCAAGTTTGCCTATAAGAGAGATAGAGTGTATTAGGAAGGGTGTAATTTGTAATCATCCTGGGAAGGTAGGTAGTCTAGACCCAGAAGGGCTTTCAATTCCAAAAGGAGAAGTTTGTATTCTGGCCCAGAGGCAAGGGGGAGTTACCAATACTTCTGGTGCCACAAACGAGAGCTAGTGTTTATAAAGTGCTTAAGGTTTGTCAAACATTTTGTACCAGTTATCTCATGTAATCTTCACAACAACCCTGTGAAACTAGGTGCTATTATTCTCATTTTGCTGATGAAGAAACCGACTAAGACTTTTTGTCCAGGGTCACACAGCTACAAAAACCTGAGAGGCAGGAATTGAATTCAGGAATTGAATCTTCCTGATTCCACTATCCACTACTTCAATTTAGCTGACTTCTTGGGTAGGAAATTGACAAGCTATACACTTTGGGAATACCAATTTGACAACTTGTGTGGAGGACAGATTGGGAAGTGGGGAGACTAGATGTAGGGAGAAAATAATTAGGAGGCAATTGCTATTAATAGTACAGGTGAGAGGTATTGAGGGCCTGGACCAAAGCTACTGTAGTGTGACTAGAGAGAGCAGATTAAAGAGAAGTTGAGGATGTGTTATAGACCAGAGCTGACAACTGTCTCCATTGTGTGAGTAATGGCAAAACAATCAATGATGACTCCTAGGCTTTGAACCTGAGTGAATGAAGAGCTACAGTGCCCCTGATGGAAACAGGGAAATTACAATTGGGAGTGGAATTGTGAGGACAAAGATAATAACTTCAGTTTTGGATACATTGAGGTTGAGATGCCGACAGGATATATAAGTGGAGGTGTCCTGCTGGCAGTTTGAGATGCCAGGACAGGAATTTCAGGAGAGAGAGAAGGGCTGAATATGTAGATTTGGGAGTCAAATGTGTAGGGCAGGATCACTTTTCCAACTATGTTTTGTTGGCAAAGGGTTGTTTTGAAGATTGAATAAAAGGAAATGCTGAAATACTTGGAAAAGCATAAAGTACAACACAAATGTGAAGTGGTGACTTTCTTGGCCTGTTGCTTAGTTGGGTACTTCAAGGCCTCTATGAGGTCACTGTTTCATCCCTGCTACTCAGAGGTATTATTCATTTTACTATATGGCCTCTCTACCTCACTAGAAGCACTTTTGCTTCTTCCCTTCCCTTTCTGTCTTTTTAACTCTCTCTAACATTTCTCTCTTTCTCTTTCCTTCCCCAAATAGCTATAAAAAGATAGAGGTAAGGATATTTAGAATATATAATCATAAAAGTGTAAATTCTGGACATTTCCAGCATACTTAAGTGCATTTTCAGTTATAGGTAAACAGTCTAATTATGAACCAAGTCATCTTCTCAATTATGAGCAAACATTTCTAAGTACTGGTGAGAAACTACTAATGATGGGCTGAATTTTTAGATATACATACAGATTATTCCATAATAATTACCTTTGTCTTTGTAAGTTTTTCTATTTGATTTGGTTTTAGCTTGAATTTTGAGTATTCTAGAAGAATAATAACCAGTAAATTTGAATTAAAGCTTCTAAACCCAGGTAAGTAATTTTACTAGGCGTTTTTTAATTTTTGGAGACAGCATTGTATTTAGTCAACAGAAGCATCTTGGAGGAGAGAGAAAATGATGAAGGAATACATTTTGAAGTTGAAGTCTTTGTTCTGGTCTTTAGCTTTTTAATGGAGAACATTTTATTTTGTGATATTTTTTCTTCATGTGAGCCAAGCACTCAAATGTATGTTCTCACATCAATAGTAAATTTACTTTTTAAGCATAAGAAATTGAAATAAAGACAATATTAAGTTAGGTACTTGTAGCAGGCTTAGTAGGAAATGACTTCAATCTACAGAGGAATTGGATTTTTAACCATAGGCCTCCATCACAACATTTACATTTTCCTGTTCCCAGGAAACTGGAGACGTGGCTCCTAAAGGCCACTCATATCAATGACAATGGCTTTCTTTTTTTTCAGGTACCGTAAGTATTATATACAATTTAAAAAAAATTCTTCTGTATATGCTTATATAGTAATGTGGCTAGAGTTTCATTTAAATGATAAACTTTTCAACCAAACATGGAAGATTCCTCTCATATCATCAAGGTTATACTGATATTATGTATACTATGCACCTCAAAGTATTGTCTGTATGTATATTCTTTTTGCTCCAGGGAGCTTGAGGCAATCTTTTCATCATGACACAGCAAAAAAAGTGAAGACTGGGGAATTGGAAATAGAACTTGGTATCCCTAAATATTCTACCCGGAGTAAATATCTGCCATTGACATTTGTATTGGGAATTCTGTAATTAGTGGAAAGTGCTGAAGACTGCTACTTAATTTCACCTTCAATCCTAGCCTTTTCATTCACTTCCAACTTTCAGAGTACAGTACTTAAGCTGATGGTTTATATTCTATAACTAAGGCCCAGGACTTAGTGAAATATAGTATTATAGATTTGAATGGTTCCTGAAGCCACTGGCATATTTCTCTAGGGCATTTAGCCAAATGAGTGCTTAGAAGAGACAAAAGAGAGGGCATTGCTATGCCTAGTGTCTTATAAAAGCTACTGATCTGGTGACATAGTTTGGAAGAATAGCTCAGGGGACTCTGAGGTATACTCTTTGCTCTTCAGATTGGAGATCCCTTTCCCTTAAGATCAGCCTGAGCTCAGGCTGAGAGTGTTGAGCTAGCGAATATAGTTTTAGAAGCATGTTTTTTTGAGTCAAGGGCACTTTGTCCCAGCACCTCTGAATGGCACCCGCTTTTCCCCACTACAGCAGCCATAGCCACTCCTCTCTAACTCTGTCACAGCCTGAAGCTGAAACTATGTGGGAAATCAACCTAATCTAACAACCAAGGCTGAAATAGAAGCAACAGAAATTGCAGCTGCAAATAAAATACAAACTCCTCATTTCAACCTGCACTTCAGAGTATTGGTGACCTCTTTTATGGCATGATGGTATTTTTCTGAGGCAGATTTGAACTCCACCAGGTGTTCCTCATAACTTTTAATTGCTGCTTGAAGCTGGCTTCTTTCCACTGCCCCTAATATGGCATGGAGGATCATATCTAGTCCAAGTCTGAGAACAGCAACCCCAATACCACCAAGCAGAGATGCACCAATTTGGGCTAACACAGTGACCAATTTGTTAATGACAACAGTTGTAACATTTGAGCAGATAAGTTTTACAGCTACTGTGCTGGCAGTGGAAGTGGCTTCTCCCAGGATGACTGACATAACCTTCTGCACAATTGCAATTTTTTCTGTTTCCCTTTCTCTGATGTCCTGAAGTTTTCTGTACAATGTTGGCTCCAATTTTTCTTTTAGCACGTCATCAACTCTTTGTACTTCCTTTTGGATCTTCTTTATGGCTTTTATGATGATATCACAGTTTTCCTTAATAGTGCCATTTCTTTTCATTTCTATGGATTCCAACCTGCAGGCCAAGTGCATATTCAGAACCCCACTCAGTTCATTGGTGACATCAAAGCTGTCTGATAAGCAATTAAGCAGCTGCTGGTGTAGGTTGTTCAGTTCCTGTCTCCTCTTTGAGTTCTCCGGGTAGAAAAAATCACTCTGAGCCATCTTCCAAATGGATCTCTGAAAAAGAAAAGTTAAAGTTTTCTAACAGCCTTAGGAAAGTATTGGTATTTCAGTGGACTGAATTAGAAAATATCTCATTTCATGTGTAGAAAAGCAACTTTCTTCTTTTTGGAAGACTATTACACGGCACAGGGACATATATGGAAAAGTAAGTGGGATGTATAATATAAGTTAGCATGTTATATAAAATTGATGCATAACCCTTGCTGAGGGCAGGGGACTACTAAGGAGGAAAAACTTCAAAAACATCAAATTCAGGAAAAGAAATACAAAGGAGATTAAAGAGATGTTCAACTGATATGATCTCTAGGCCTCTCCCTTTTCTTTTTGTGTGTGTACTCAACCAGACAGAACTGAATACTTCACATGTGGTCTGATCAAGCTAAGTATAATACAGAAAAGTTATTACTGCTATGTTATGAACATTAAGCCTTTTTAAATGTAGCCTAAAATCTCATTAGCTTATTCAATTGCCATATTGCACTATTGATTAATTTTGAGTTTGCAGTCCAGATTTATTTTCCTACTAAACATTGTCTGGTCACATCTCCCCCATCTTGAACTTGTGAAGTTGATTCTTTTGAAACCAAGTTCAGGGTTTTGTACTTCTCACTTTTAAATTTAATTTTACTGGATTTGGCCCTGCATTCTAACCTAATCTTCTGCAATAAACATTTATTAAACTCTTACTATGTGCTAAGCACTGTGCTAAATGCTCAAACAAACCAATCCCTGCCCTCCAAGAGTGTGCATTCTAATGGGAGAGATGACGTGTGGAAAAAATGCAGCCAGGGGCCACTAGGTGGCGCAGTGGGTAGAGGACTGGCCCTGGAGTTAGGAGGACCTGAGTTCAAACCTGTCTCAGACCAGACACTTGACATTTACTAGCTGTGTGACCCTGGGCAAGTCACTTAACCCTATTGCCTAGCCAAAAAAAAATGCACCCAAAAGATCTATATCTCTCTATCTATCTGTCTGTCTATCTATCTATCTAATCTCTGACTGTCTGTCTGTCATGTGTGGATGTATCAGAGAGACACAGAGAGGAATAGATAATGGGAGATAACCTGAAAGAGGAAGGCATTAGCAGCTGTGGAAGTAGGGAGAGTCATATCCCACCTTTTGAGTCTTGGAATAAGCCAGGGAAACTTAGAGGTGGAGGTAAGTAGAGAGAACAATCTAGTATGGGGAAAAACTAGTGTGAAGACAAGGAGAAGGGAGATGGAGGGTCAGTAAGCCAGTGTAGCTGGATGGTAGAATTCAAGGAGGGAGAGTAAGCTGTAGGAAAGCTGAAAAGGTAGGAGAAGGCCAGGTTAAGAAGAGATTTCATTGCCAAACAGACAATTTTCTATTTGATCCTGGAGATAATAGGAAGCCATTGGAGCTCATTGAGCAGGGAGCATGAGGTCAGACTTGTACTTTAGGAAAATGATTTGCCAGTGAAATGGATGATGAATTGGAATGGGAGACACATGATGGGGGTAGACCAGTAGTCCAGATGAGAGGCAATGAGGGCCTAAATTAGGGTTGTGACTGTGTGAATAGAGAAAGGGGGATGTATATGATAAATGTTGTGCAAAATTTAGCAATGGATTGGATACAGGGGATGAGTAAGAATGAGGAGCTGGGAATGACACCAAATTTACAGGCCTGTGTGACTGGGAAGGGGGTGATGCCCTCAGCAGTAATAGGGAAGTTCAGAAAAAGGGATCTTTTTGAGGGAAATATGATTCTCTTTTTGACATGTTGGGTTTGAGGCACCTAGTTTAAGATATCCAAAAGGTAACTGGAGTTATATGACTGAGGTTCATCAGAGAGATTGTGGTTAGATATAGAGATCTGGGAATCATCTCCATAGAAAGTAATTGAAGCCCAGGGAGTTGATGAGGTCACCAAATGATGTGGTATAGAGCAAAAAAGAGAAGAGGACATGACATGGATGAAAAACTAGCAAAGGGTACTGAGGAGTGGTTGGATAAATAGGAGGAACACCAGGAGAAGACAGTGTCACAAAATCCTAGAGAAGAAAATATCCAGAAGTGTCAGATACAACAGAGAAATCAGAGGAAGATTATTGAAAACAGGCCTTCTAGTTTGGCAAATAAGAGATTGCTGGTAACTTTAGAGAGGGCAGTTTCAGTTGAATGATGAAGTTGGAAGCCACATCATAAAGGGTTTTAAAAAGGAGTGATAGAAGAGGAAGTGGAGGCACTTACTCTAGATGGTTTTCTCAAGGAGTTTAGCCTGGAAGAGGTGAAAAGAAATATAGGTCAATAGCCAGTGAGAATGGTTATCTACAGATTTGGTAAGTATACCAACTGCCTCCATTCATTCTCATCTTTAAATTACTAATAAATATTATCAGAGAGCTGGGGACAGGTACCTGGGACTTTCTCTAGTGGAGATTGCCCTTCAAGTTGCTATCCAGCATTAATGACTACTCTTTGGGACCAGTTATTCAACCAAATGGGAATCTCCCTAACCGTATTATTACCATCTTACTGACATTTTTTCATATTGTCCGCAAGGATGGCATGAGCAGTTTTAACAAAATTTAGGTTTTTTAATTCAGTATTTATGAATGAATATTATTAATGTTGATTTAGATGATCTGGGGTATATCATATATCCAGAGGTGAATAATTTTTCCCAAATTTGGGAGCTGTATCTGTCCCTGGGGGGTGAGGGGAGTAGTATGGAGCCACTGCCTTCAAATTATTCAATCTCTTCTGAATGATAGTAATGATGATGGTAATAATAATAATAATAATAATGAACAGATATCTTACAAAAGGTTAATACCAGTCTGAGAACCCTGGCTGGAGGTCCTGCCATCTGCTTTTCTTGGTGTTAGGTAGGAGCACAAGGAGCATCCCAGGACCCCTGAGCTGCTGACCATTTTAATTTATAATTGAACACATTACCTGTAAATGTGGTGAGATTAGAACACTAGGGTAGCTTCCTTGCATGTTTTTTTTTTCTCTGTCAACCTTATCCTAAAGTGCAATTTCATGCCTATATAGGCAGAGGGTGGACACCTTCTCTGCCAGTCTGGGGCTTTTTTGCAGTTCTTTTTTTTCTTTCTTCCTGCTCCCCTCCACTGATCTGCTGTTGATCAGATGACATAGCTATAGGCCAGGAGGGTAAGGATAAAGAAATAAGGCTGGAGACAGTGCTGGGAACACCCGCTATCCCACTCTAGAACTTTTTTCTTGCTGGAAACCAAAGGAAGGGGTTGAGGCAACATAGGATCAGGGGTCTGAAGAGGGGCCAGCACAAATCCCTGGGGAGTATGAGAGAGGGAATGGAGTTGTACCTGCTTGGGCATTATGGGGTGTACTGTTACCAACCCCTTTTTCCCTACATCATTTGTAGGAACTTCTTAAAGGAAAAGCTATTGCTCCTGGTGAGTATAGAGGGGTGGCAGCAAAGGGTTTGAGCAGTTAAAAAAAAACAGACAAAACACAGTTGATTTTTTTTCAAAGAAAAACAAACCTCTTGATGAAAAGCTATGTTCAGAATTAAAAGTATGACTTCAGAGGGTGTATTGTAAGCTTAAATACCTCCATATTTATTTTTACCAGGATGCAAGGCTTACTACTTGATGAATTGCGTATAACAATATACACTAGTCTTAGGCTTTGTTAAGATAAACTGCAAGTTCCATAAGGAAAAACATATACATATATATGTATATAAGCAATGTCATTCTGTCCAATGTTAATTAAGGAAGGAATAGTAGTGCCATGTCATGGATAAAGTTAAAACAGTGTTAGCCCAGTTAACAGTGCACACTTGGGCTGTTATGTAGTCACTGAACACCTAGAGAAAGAAAATGAATTGGTGTGTGTCTCTTTGTGATGTTTACTTGGCTGAAAATTCTGAAGACATAGCTACCCAAGCTAGTTTGATGTTATGTTTTTGAAACTGAAAGAAAAGAAAAAAAGTAGTTTTGGACTTATATGGCTATCTGAATAATAGATGTCTTGTACGAAAAATGAATTTCAGAGAATCCATTTAAACTGTAGTCATGGTCCTCAATGTCCAGGGGCCCTCAAAACATTGTGACATTGATTATGTTGTGTTTTAGAATGACCACTGGGGAAAGGAAGTATTGCAGAAATATGTTTTCCCCACCAGATAGTACAGATAAAAATAGCTTAGATTTCCCCTCTGAATTCCTTCTACCTATCCCCATTTCAATATTTTCATGCAAGTCATTGAAGTTTTTTGAATGAGGAAAAGTGAAAACTTTTACTAAAGTAATTTAGAAATAGAAAACCTTTATCTTCAGATTATATGGCTAGATCTGAATGACCATTTAGAGGAGTCACTAAATGGGCTTTTAAGTTCATTGTATTTTGCCAAGGCATTTCCAATATATTTTTACGTTCTTGGCTTCTAGTTTTCAAGTCCATATTAGTAATGAGAAATATTGTATGTATGTATGTGTGTGCTTGCACACGTGCATGTGTGCACTAGTTACATACCTACTTGAATAGTTAAGGAGGATCCTCTTTTATATCCAGGGAAAGGGAAGATTTTTGCTGCCATTAGCAGCAGAACCAACTAACAGAACAAGAATGTAGTTATGCTTAACTGGAACATGTTAGCCATGGCCATTATAGAATCAGAGTAACTTAGAGTAGGAAGGGATCTTAGAGGCCATCTAGTCTAACCTATTCCAAACCAATAGTCACACCTGCAGCAGCCCCAACAAGTGGTACTCTGGTCTTCTCTTGAAGTTCTCATTCATTCACTGAACATAAATTTAGTGAATGATTGCTAAGAACATGATGGTGTTAAAATCGTCAATGGCTATTGGGATTAAAGTTCAGGATCCTTTGTTTGGCATTCAATGTTCTATTACCAGTGGTTCAAACTCAAATAGAAATAGGGGCTATTAAACCATACATAAGGATTCCTGCAGGCTGCATATTGACTTAGAAAAGTAATGTATTAATATTATCTATGCTTCATTGCATTTTATCAATCATTATTAACAATTAATATCAATGATCATGAATAGCTGTTATATTTTAATAATTATTAACACTAATAGTTAATTTACATTGATAATAATTAATATTACGTTTTATTGCATTTTTACTTGTCTTTTTAGATATTTTACAATTATATTTTTATCTGGTTCAAGCTGCATTCGGGAGTATGTGGTACATGGTCCTAGTGTATTTGACATGTCTGCTCTACACAATTTAAAAATCTATTACCATTCTATTTTTCCAGCTGTACACATTATTCTCTGGGTGCTCTATATTCTAACCAAAAGGGAGTCTTTTATTCCCTTCACACACACACACACACACACACACACACACACACACACTCACACACACTCTGCTTTTATGCCTCCATGCCACTGTTTACGCTGTACCTTTCTGTTTCTTCTTTGCTTGTTGAAATCCTATCTGTGCTTTACAGCCCAACTGTAAAAGAGCAGCTAGGTAGTACAGTAGATAGAGTGCTGTTCATGGAGTGAGGAAGACCTGACTTCCAATCTGGCCTCTAGACACTTGCCCAGTGTGATCCTGGGCAAGTCAATTAACCCTGTTTGCCTCAGTTTCCTCATCTGTAAAATGAGCTGGAGAAGGAAATAGCAACTTCCCCCCCCCAGTATCTTTGCCAAGAAAACCCCAAATGGGGTCATGAAGAGACAGACATGACTGAACAATAACAGAATGTTACCTCTTCCCTGAAACTTTTCCTGACTTCCTTCGTCCCCAGTAGATATTTGCATTTCTCAGTCACACCTCATAATACCTTGTCTTGTAACTGTTTAATGAACTCTAACTGTAAGGGATCTGGTTATTTAAGGTAATTAATTTACCTAAGATAATCACTTAATTTAAGGTAGTGGTGGAATTTTAACAGTATGTGTCCCTCATAAGGTATCATTCTCTTTGATTGGGTCTAATGTGATTGGCTAACAAACAAGATGACCACTACTTGGGAGCTTTAATCAGCCCTCAGAGGAATTTCAGCAGTTAATCTTGCAGCAAAGCAGTCAAATTTCAGCATTTTCTAGTCTCTGTACCTCTGTACCAGAAGACAGTAAAGGGCAGAGGCTTTGGACAGAGCCCAGACTCCCCCAACCCCCAACTCAGGGCTATGCTATTGGAGAGATTAAATCAGTAGGAGCTAATGTAAGCAACTGAGAGCAGGGATACTGCCTCACTGAAGACAAAAAGTTACACACTTGAGGAGGAAGCAGCTTCAGTGAAGGTAACCCTTGAACTAGGAAACAAAAACTAGCTATAGACTCAAGAAAGGACTTCCAAAAACCAGGAGTTGTGAATTTACCTTTTGGTCACACATATTTTCTACACCACCATCATATTCCAAATTGAAGGCCACTTTTCCCTGGGTTCTATTTGTACTTATAGGAGAGTGTGTCCCAGGATTTTTGGGGGAAATGTTTCATACTATTACTATATATACTACCTTAGTAAATACCTTTGCTAAAAGTTAATTGAGGCCATTGGGATGCATACCCATGGATCATTTTGAGCCACTGAACTAGAAACCCCAAGGTCAGGATTACCATGGAGTCTGAGGGAAGTATGTTATAGTCACCCTCTGGGGACCCAGCCCATCAATGTGAGTGGGAATTTGGAAAGTGGCCCAACAGGGTCTACAACATGTAATGTTGTATCATGGCTTTTTTTGTTGGTGTTTTTTTCCTTTACTAGACTATAATCTCTATAAAGAAGGATGGAAATAGATATTTATTAGTTGCCTACTATGTACCAGGCACTGTGCTAATTGCTATATAAATGTCTCTTTTGGTCCTCACAACAACCCTGGATATTACTATAACCATTCTACAGTTGAGGAAACTGAGTCAGACAGTGGTTAAGTGACTGTCCCTGGGTTACACAGCCAGTAAGTGTGTGAGGCCAGATTTGAACATAGGTCTTCCTGGATATAGGTCCAGAACTCTATTCACAGTGCCACCTAGTGACCTCCAGTACCATCTATATACACCCTCTCTAAGGGCAGAAACTGTGTTTTATCTAAGCTGTGTTGCTTCCCCAATGCTTATAGCACAGTGTTGTATATGCAGAAGGCATTAATGGTTGGTATTTTTGTTACAAAATGCTGATGAATAACATGAAAAGGCACCATCACTGTTTATAAGAAGCTAACAAGTCTTAGTAGCTAGTAGCTAGAGTGTAAGGACAGCTCCTGTACCAATGGCATAATATCAGTGGTTTGCACTCTGGCTCATTACCAATCCATTTGGACATTATAATCTTGCTTATTTGACTTTGGCAATGTATAAGGAGAAATATGAGATCACTTCAGCATTGTACAGTAAACAGCACAATGGTCACAAATTACGGGGAGAATTCTACATTTCTCCACCCCGGGGACAAGTCTGTGAGGTTGCCCAGGAGGTCCTTATGCACATTCATACTAGTCTGAGACTACAGAGTCAAGGTCATTACATTTTATTGTCCTTGTACATCAATTTGGAGCTATGGGCAAATAATACCTTCAACAATCACCAATCTGATAATGGTCTCATGATTTGAGTTTTTAGAATCTATGCTGCTTTGAAGAGATAACAAAACTTGTATCTTAGTCATTGTCGGCATCTACAGAATGTCTATTGTAAATATTTATGAAATGGGGGTAATTTTTGTACTACCCATCTCATGGGGTTGTGAAGAAAGCATTCTTTATAAGTCTTAGGGTGCTATGTAAATGTGATTATTACTAGACAACAAGGAGGTATATAGAAAAATGATAACCTTACCCACTTCAAGGAGCTTACAATCAATTTAGAGATACATGTGTTTAAGCACACTTACACATAGCATACAAGTGAATTACAAGAACCTAATGTAGCAGCAAAAGAATATTTGGTGGTCCTGATTATTAGCAAATACATCAAATGAAAATATCATCTACCTAATATGCACATTAGTTACTTAATCACACAATAGTTACTTAATCCTTTATACTTTCTAAGTTATACACATTTATTTTTTAAACTCTAATTTTGCTACCTTTAGGAGTACTAAATTTACTTTCTCCCTACCCCAGAAACTTCTCTGGTGTCTGGAGAAACCAAGCACCACAAGGCCCTTACTTCACTAATTAAATTCTCCTTGGATGAAGTTCAAGATTGATATGCCTTGCCAAATTCCACCCTATAACGGATAACGTTACAGTGAGATTTCAGCAGCATTAGGATTGCCTACCTGTCTGCACTTCTTAGTTCTGTAGTCCCAGTGAATGTTTAGGAGAATTATGGGGAATGTTTATTCATCTGGTTGTTTCTGGAATGTGATGACCCAGGTTTATTCTGTCTGCTGGACTCTGCTAGGTCCCACTGCCTGCCTTGTTATGTGATTTCTGCATCTCTTAGTGTTTAAAAACCTTCTTTCCTATTAGTTATTTTATTTATTAGTTATTTTAATATAATAAAAATTACAGGCAGGATAAATAAATTAGTTTTTCTTTGCTTTTCTGAACTTCATTTTACTTTGTGTTGTTGAAAAATGTTATAGTCACTGTGCAAAGAAAGAAAATCCACAGATTAGGCTCACTGGCAAGGTACACAGAGAGATTTGAGGAATGATTTATTTATAGTGTTTGGCTGAAATTAGGACATGCTTCCATATCTCAGGGCTAGTCTGAAAAGACTGCTTTAATTGTTAACTTTGAATCTCCAGTGCAAATACTTCACTTCTTTGCCTCCTTGTTTCCTTGTCATGCTTCTGTATCTATTTTATAGTTATATAGGGAAGTATCAGTCAATAAAGATATTAAGCCCCTACCATGTACCATACACTCAAATAAAGCCTGGGGGATACAGAGACAGAATCAAAACAATCCTTCTCATAATATGAGAGACAACACGTACATATGTCAGTATTGCAGAATATATACAAAATGAATTCAATGTAGTTTGGAGAGCAAGGAAGGCATAAGCAGACAAAGCTTCATACAGAAGGTGGTTCTTGAGCTGAATCTTGAAGGAAACCTTGGATTCCAAGAGACGAAGGTGAAGGGGGGATAGCATTGAGACTTGAGGGACAGCACATGCAAGGGCATGGAGCTGGGAGATAGAGTATTTTGGGAAGAACAAGTAGGCCAGTATAACCCAGACCACAGAATATATGTACAGGAATAGTGTGTAAGTAAACTAGAAAGGAAGGTGCTGGCTTGAAGAACTAATCAAATGCCCTGTAACACCTCATCCAGCTCTTTGACCTTATGGTCCTTATGGCTGTACTTTTATCAGATCCCATTTGCCTTACTAAAACAGTACTCCACTTTATCTAAAGTGGATAAAGTGGAGTACTGTTTTGGTAAGGCAAATGGGACCTGATAAAGTATCACAATCCAAAGGACAGAATCATAAGAATAGATTTTAAAGGGTGAGAGAAGAGTATTTTTTTTGTCTTTGTATCTTCAGTTCCTAGTACAGTGGCTTGTCCATAGCTGGCAATTAATAAAAAAGAATTAAGGATTGCCTCTAAGCCCTTCAATTCTATACTCCCCAGTCTTGGGCTTCTCTGCTTACTCTGCTGACATTTCCTTTTGTTGAGGCAATTTTTTCTTTTCTTTTTTTTTTTTTTCTCCTGTGGACCATGAGTAGTGAGATGGGTGGCCTCTGATGGTAATGCATTTTCCTTTGGTAGAGGTCTTCAAGATGAATCTGGGTGATGTTTTGCTGGGAATATTGTAAGGGGAGATGATCTCATTTAGGTCAGAGGAGATGGTCTATGATGTTCCTTCCTCCTTTGAGAGTCTGTACTTCTGAGGCATCTTGCACATCATCTTATATTATTTCCTTGCACAAATTTGGAAGCCATTTTGGGGGTTAAAAGCTATTAAATGAAGACCCTAATCCAAAGTACCTTCCCTCTCTCTTCCAAAAAGGTTATTTTGGTTATTCTAATCAATTCATGAACTCATTAGTGTTGATTTTATTTGTCTTCTTATATGTTTCTGAACAAGTTAGTTTTATGCTGGTTTATGTTTCTTCGTATATATATATATATATGTATATATATATATATACGTATATATATATGTATAATATATATATATGTATATATATATATATATACATATATATATATGTATATATATATATATACATATATATATATGTGTGTATGTGTGTGTGTCATATATTTTTTTATGAGTTAGAACTGTCTTCCTCATTAGATTATAAAGCCTTTTAGGGTAGTATCAATGTTTTATACAGCATTTCTTTGTATCTCCTAACAGGTGACCACTAATACAGTGATCTTCACAAGGTGGATTAATTAATGTTGTTTACATTTACTTACATATCAGTATTTTCTCTTCACAACGGCATTTTTATTTCCAAAATAGAATTACAAAATTGTAAGGAACTTTAGAGAACATTTACTAAAACTCTTTTTCATTTTATAGATGAAGAAGCTGAAGCCCATTATGGAGGCTGCATAGGGTAGTGTAGGGGAAGAAATGTTGGATTTGAACTCAGAACAAACCTCTGGTACTTAGGTCAGTAAGTACCTCAGGGCCTCAGTTTCTTTACTTGTAGAAGTGGAATAAATCATCTCTATGGCTCCTTCTAGCTCTAAAACCATAAACTAATCTTTACTAATGTGATATGACTTGCTCAGTGTCACATATTAATTAGTGACAGAGCCAGAATTAGAACTCACATTTCATGACCAGAACAGGGTTTAGCATGCTTTTTATCAATCATACCAGATATCTTCTAGCTAAAGGAGCAGGTATAAGACTATTTGTGCTTTACCTTGTAGAAGTTAACTTTGTAATCCAGAATCAGTAAGTCTGTATAGAATTGACATAGCTACTTCTTGTAGCGCCTTAGAGACTATTAAATTTTTTTCTTCTCATACTTTAATTTTCTTCACTTTGGTTTCTTGATATGTTTTGCAGTTCTGCCACTTCTTAGAAGAATGTCATTTATGTCAGAGGATATGGAAAGATTTATTCAGACTGGTAATACTTTCTACAATTGCTTACTAAAACTTAATTCTTCCATAAATACCTTTATTCAATTACTCACCAATTATCTGGGCTGCCAAATACCTTGTATCATTGTGAATGAAAGTGGAACTGTTAAGGATTATTTTGAAGAAGTAGTATGTTCTTTGAAGAAAGTCCAGGGTGATATTGAATCAAAAGACAAAGCCAGGACTGAATGTTCTCAATTTTCCAAGATAACAGCAACCATGACCTCTGTGTTGGAGAAAGACCCCTGTCTAATAAATGCTAAAAAGTTATGTGAAACAGCTAAAGAAATTTCTGACTGTACCCAGCTGCCACTTGTTCTTATGCTGAAAAAAGTCAACTTCTTTGAGAGTATGGAATGTGCTCTTGCCCAGCTGATGAGGTCCTCAATCATGAGCCTCCGACTGACCGACCTCCGTAAAAAAGATCCATGTGAGCAACCAGGACCTGCCAGAGCTCCAGAGAAGAGTAGTTGCCTAACTTCTACAGCAATGTCACCTACAGACATCCCAGAGAAGTTGAGCAAACTGATAGATTGCCAAACCTCCATTAATCCCCCAATGTCAGCTGCAGATAACCTCCAAGAAATTGTCAAGACTATGGAACCTGTTGCAGACAAACTACAACAAGTCGCTAAGGCTATAGAAGCCAATATGGACTTATTAAAATTAACTAAGTAGCTCTACAATTAGTAAGTAGTGGAACTGCAGGGGAGACGTTTTGCTTAGTAGAAGAGCAGTTTTCATCCGATGATTTCTCACCATAAAAGCTAGGAAATTCCTTTACTATTAGAAGAGAGGCACTTTGATTTTAGGAAACCTAGGCCTGTTATTTAATTAGAAGTATGAGGATAGGCAGCTGTCAAACAGCAAATAATTTACTTCTCTTCTTGCTTGTTTAAATCTCAGATAAATCCCCTTTGGAATGGCATCTGCTTAACAAAAGATAAAAATTGCAAAAGACCAACATTATTACTGTATTTGACAATGTTTCTGAGCACTAAATGGTTCTCTTAAAGCAAAACTAAAGTTTTTGGTATTCCAACTTTCAGATAACTTATAAATTTATTTCCAGCAAAAAACTGGCAAGTCCAAGACTATATAAGCTTTATCACTGAGCAACGGATATTGGCCTGTACTGGCAAGAAACCCTTAGGGATGATTAGGCTTAAAGCAGTAAAAAACAAACAAACGAAAACTCAACAAAAAAACCTTACTTAGCTTTTTTGTCTACTGGATCACACATACCAGTTCTTATAGTGCCTAACAAGTGTCTTGCAAATAGTAAGTGCTCAATAAATGTTTGTTGATTTGTTTTTCCAGAAAGAAATGGCCCAAGGAGTGTGTAGTGGTGGTTTATGGGAATTGGGCCAGTGTAGCTGTCTGTGAATTTCATCTCAAAATATATAATGGACTACCTCAGGATATCATAAATTTCTCCTTGCTTGAGGTTTTTAGACAGAAGTTGAGTGACAACTTGGCAAATGTAGTAGTAGAGGCAATGTTCAGGTATGAATTGGATTAGACAGCTCTTTGAGGTCCCTTCTGATTATCAGATTCTATTATTTTATTATCTTTTTTACCTCTATTCCTTACTCCCAAACTCTGGAGTTTGAGAAACACTTATCCTAACTAGTAGGCTGTATGTTTTGTTAGTGCTTAAAAAATATGTATTTTTTTTTATCAACATGAGTATTCTCTTCAATTGTGTAGCTCGGAAATCCTCAGTATCTTGTTATGTGGCCAAAAAACAATCATCACTTTTTGGCCAAACTTTTGGTGATGAAGCTGTCTGATTTTTAGTTAGCTGGCCTTCAAATACTAGGATTGTGCTAAAAATCTTGTTGGAGATTTTTGGAGATAAAAACTGCCAGAGTTTGCACTTAACTGGCATACCCTTTGGGAGCCCAGGTCACCACCATATCACTATTGCAAATAGATCATTTGCAATAAGCTCAAATAAAAATCTCCTTTTAATGTCAAAGTTAAACAAGAAATTTAAAGACAATCAAGTACTGTAGAGTGAACATCATATTGTAAAAGGCCAAGGAAAATATTAAATTGGTAGTGTGCCATTGCTTTTGAGAAACATTCCTTTTAATGGTTACACTATTATAATAAGCACATGTCTTATAACACAGAGCCTTATCAAAGGCAATATACTTCCACCATTTTATACATAAAATAATTTGACATCCTGAAATAGAAGGGGAAATTGCATTCATATGTCACATGTACATACAGAAATAACTAAGAGAAGGATGAGACTGCCAAGTTTTAAATAATTGAGATTCCACTCAGTTTGACTTCCACTATTAGTGAAATTATAGAGATAATTCAGTGTAGTAAGAATGATTTAGGTATAATGTTCCCACCAGAAGAGGTTTTACAATCTAGGGAATTCAAGTCTCCTGCTTCCCTACCCAAATTCATGAAGATATCTCACTTCCAAAGAGTTTTAGCCTGGTAATGCTCATAATGTTATTTTTTCAGCAACCCTACATTTTGGTTTTTGGTAGATTTATTCTCAGGCATAAAACAACAGTAGAACATTGCTATTTACAAAATGGCCTTTTGATTCAGAGAAGTTTAGGTTCATTAAAAAACAAACAAACAAACAACTTTACAGTTTCCAGAAGGCAATCCATCCTGTTCCTCTCCTGTTCAATTTGAGGCCTAGCTCATTGTCCATGTGAACTACCTGTCTTGTGTACACACACACACACACACACACACACACACCCAAATAGATGAGCTCCATGTATTGTTCATTTAGCTGCAAATCATGGTATGGACAGTAGACATTCTTCATCCACTTCGTTCTTTCTATGTGGAGGTGGACAGTCTGGCCAAAATTTTTAGGGTGAGTATGAATGTCATTTCGAAAGCTCTGTAGTAGGGCAGCTAGATGGCATAGTGGGTAAAGTACCAGCCCTGGATTCAGGAGTTCAAATCCAGCTTCAGACACATAACACTGGTGTGACCCTGGGCAAGTCACTTAACCCCATTGCCTAACCAAAAAAAAAAAGAGCTCTGTAGTGTTCTGAACCTTGCTGCAAATCAGCATGATGAAAGAACACTGGCTCAGGAGCCAGAAAACTGGGTTCACATCCTGCCTGTGATGAACTAGCTGTGTGACCTTTGGCAAACCCCTGTCTTTCTGTTTTCTATAAAAGGAGGGCTTTGGACTAGATGGCTGTACTGTCCCTTTTAGCCAGTTGTGTTGTTTTAAAGAAGTAAATTACTGTAGAACATTGCCTACACTTTCTAATACCATTGCATTCAAATACCATGATGTATTTAGTCATTCTCCAATTGCTGGATATAAAGGCCATTTCTTATTGTTTTGTGTTATAAAAAAAGCAATGAATATTTTCCTGCAGACTCTTCCTTTTTATATTTTTGAGATAGGGTCCGAGCCGTGAAATTGTTATGTCAAAAGATAGGATGAGTTTTGTGACTCTTGTTGAATATTACTATATTGTCTCCAAAATCTATGTACTAGGCTGCTGTGCAACCAATTACATATTAGAGTTGTGGCCCTTACTCTCAAAGATTTGTGTCAATTCCTAATAGATTTTGGATGCCAGACCTTCATCTGGGATGTCTAATGCAATGATTCCCACCCCCCCCAAACCAAATCTTTTTTTTGTACAAAGTATAGCTGCATCAATTTAATGTGTGCTAAATTTCTATTTTGTTTGTGTATGATTGGACATACTAATTTCTTTTAAACTTTCTGTTTATTAGTTGTGAAATTATCCTTCTCATTTTTGATTTTGGTAATTTGGTTTTCCTCACTTTAAAAAATCAAAGTAGTAAGTGGTTTATCAATTTTGTTGATTAAAAAAAAGCCCACTACTATTTATACCTCAGTGCAGAATACACCAAAGAAAATAAACTACTATTTGAGAACTGTGTAAAAAGATAAAAAGCAGTTTGGGGAAAAATAGATTAATTCAGCATCTTGTGCTGCATAACAGAATAAGTACCAAACAAATATTTGATTTAAATATAAAAGATCTCACCATAAAACAAAATTTGAGGGAAATAGATAGTACTATAATTATGGCTAGGGGGATCATTCTTAACCAAAAGATAAAAGAAATTACAAAATGTAGAACAGGCATTTTCTATTATATTAAATTAAGGAGCTTTTTCATAAGTAAAATAAATACAGCTAAGATAAAAAGAGAAACTTGGTTGGAAGAAAAATCTTTTCATCACATATTTGTGATAAAGGAGTGATCACTGAATATTTTGTGCCATGATGAAAACATTTGTTAAGTCTTTTTCATTTTGTCTTGAAGCAACAGATGATTTCCAAATCCCTGTAAATGTGTGTCCTATTCTGTAATCCATATCTATATTTTATTTTATTTAGATTATATAAATATCTTGTAAATAGGCATTCTGTATTGTTGTAAGTGAAATTCAACATAGGTAGACTGAGGCATGCTTTCTTTGAGGAAGATAACGTTTTGTTAACAGAGATGCTACCAGCCAATAGAATGAGTCAATGGATGCCTTATATATGCCAAAGATGCTAAGCAGAAGGACAGCTCCCCTTTTATAGGTTTTGGGAAATACAGAACAAAAAGCAGAACAAGGTAGGTGAGGGAGTAATACAATTGGTTATAGGGTTGTTGACGACATGGGGATGAGGACAACATGATTGATTACGTAGCTGAGGCACAAGGGATAATATGATTGGTTGATGTTGGGAATGAGGGGTTGGCAACAATCCCCTCCTCACATTCTATGATGTTCGTTGTTTGAGTCTACTTTCAAGGTTAAAGATAGTGGATCAGACATCCCTGAAGATTAGCTTGATGGTGTACAAATACTGGACCAAACTCCCTGGTGTCCACTCATATCCCCAAAGGATATCATTTCTTTGAGGCAAGAATAGAACAGTGATTAGCAGGAGAGCTGGATTTCTAAACTTAACTCATTAAGGGCTGTCTGAATTTCTGCAGTAAGGTCATAGACAAAGAACCATGACTTAGGCAGCAATAGGATAAAAGCAATTACCTATTAATAGAGTTAATTAAATAGGATCAATTAAAAATTTATACAGAATTAATTTAATCCATTTAGTACATAGTCAGCTTCAATATTCCATTACTTCTTTATAAGTATCCTGGTATCTTGCACAACGTCATCATTTATGTTTGTTCCCTGGCACCTTTCTTTTCAGTTAGGGATTACTTCATGTGCTAGACATAGGTTAAATATGGAATCACCAGAAGGACATACCATTTAGGATTGGGATCCTTTTGGGGACTGACTGACCAGTAACCACCCTAGCAACCCCTATCATCTACTAGCTAATGCTGCCATTTTGCTTACTTCTTCCTCCACTGTGGCTACAGGAGGATTGGGCAATCAAAGGAAGTGAGTGTTCTACATATTGCTACGCATAATTTATATCAATGAGGTTCACAGTATACTTTAGCTGAGCCTGGAAGCCGAGTAGACTGAATGAAGCTGCCATGTTAAGGCAGTGATTCTAGGTTGCAAGACTATTAACTTTCTTCATTAAATATTTTTAGCCTTGTAATGGGAAGTTTTAGGTCATTTCTAGCATCTTGTAATTCTTGCTTCCATTGTTTAATACCTACTGCAAATCACTGTAGCTCTCTGGGCCTTGATTTCCTCATCCATAAAGTGAGGAGGTTGTACTGGATGGCTTCTAAGATCTCTAAATATTTGGTGTCCTATAAAATATATAGGGGGGTTAATTTTGTTCAGTCATGTCTGACTCTTCATGACCCCATTTGGGGTTTTCTTGGCAAAGATAATGGAGTGGTTTGCCATTTCCTTCTCCAGCTCATTTTACAGATGAGTAACTGAGGCAAACAGTAAGTGTCTGAGGCTAGATTTGAACTAATGAAGATGAGTCTTCCTGACTGCAGGCCTGGCGCTCTTATCTATTGTACCACCTAGCTGCTGCCTAGGAATTAATA